GCTACTAGGGGCTCCTGGCATCGCTACTAGGAGCAAGGACGCTACTACAAGGAAGCTCTTCTCGGAAGACATTGAAGTGAAGAGATCCAGGCCGAGGAACCGGATTCCACTCCACTCCACTCCACTCCTGGTGACCACCAATGTTCCGCTCCAGGTCCGGGAGCGTTTCATTTTTTCTGCCCACTTTTTGTGCTGAACGAACTTTCCAATTGCTTTCATCTTCCCTTTGTGCAGCCCCTGTCGTACCACCAAGAGAGTTGTGAAATGCTTGGCAGGTACGTTCATTTTTGGAAGACGATGATGAGGACTTCTAAACTTGCAAACAGCACCCTGGGGAGGTTCTGAAAAGAGACCAGTTCAGCTACAGTGGTTTCAGAGTGGATGGCGCAACCCCTAAGATGACTTTTGATGGGGGTACATATAAACCACCTTCTAAACTCAATCCACGATACTTCTCACCCTCCTGCCGCAGGTGGTGAGCGTGAAGCGCGAGGGCTTTCCCTCCAAGGCCGCGGCCATCCTCGCCGCCTATGACACTGATGCAGCTGGTCGAGGGGGTGCCCTCTTTGTGGATGATGACATCAAGGAGCTCACAGAGACTAGGCTTCGTTCATAGAGCAAGGAGGAATCCAGCTCCATGGAGACTTAGAGGCTTGCGGGCTCTGAAGCCTCCCAGATCCATTTTGTGAAAGAGTCCTGGTTATCCTTTGCACGTTTGATCTTGGTTTATTTTGCGTTGTATCAATTTTTGTGTTCTCAGAGTGAGCCTGTGGGCTACATCATGACTCTAGCAAGAACTACACTAGAACATCCTCATGCTGCATGCCAATGAAAGTTGAATGATTGTGAATGAACGTTTATCAATCCTGGCGTAGGAATTCAACCAAGCAGGGGAAAGGCAAAGCCACCAGAGACCATACCCACGATGGCGGTCAACTGAGATGGCGGCATGACCTTTTAAGCCAACCCAACATGGTGGCAGGCAGAGCATTTCGCCGTTGAATCATCATGGCATTCCACGGCTCTCTCCTGGATTCTTCCGAGGATCCCGAGTTGGGTGAACTGGTCCAGGAGGGCCGGCTGCTGCGGCTGCTCTTTGTCCGCTCAGGAGGGAAGGAGTGAGCGAAAAAGATCGAAAAAGGCGTTGAAGGAGACGACGTGGCAATTGATCATGGGATGGGTCTCACAATAGACCGCCGGAATAGGACGATGACAGGCTCCGCTGTCACTGGTGATTCCAGCCCACTAAGTGTAATAAGTGAGCTGGCACGTGGAAGACTTTCTTTCATGTTCGTGTATCTGTGCATATACAATGTCTCCAAGGCATTATTTGCGTCAACACCGGGGAACCCTGGTTGACCACGGATAATGAACAGAATAGACTACCTGGTTGGTTAACCTACCAGGGTTTAGGTCTCCGGGCTTTGACCCACAGCTAAAATGTCCATCGAAGACTGCAAGAACTTTCGATCCCCACTTCCCCTCCCTGGAAGCTCATGCAGCTGTGCTTGTAACACCGTCGCTCGGATTTCCTCATGACTCCTCCATGCATTCGGACGGACCAGTTGCGCCACTTCCCTTGGGGCCCAGTGAGACCCAGTGGGTGCAAACGGATTCTCGAAGCATTTGTTCACCAAGGAATCAGAAACAAGGACGCTACTAGCTACTAGGAGCAAGGACGCTACTAGTAGCTCCTGGCCTTACTACTACTAACAAGAAGCTACTAGTAACAAAGGGCATCGCTACTAGGAGCAAGGACGCTACTAGTAGCTCCTGGCCTTACTACTACTAACAAGAAGCTACTAGTAACAAAGGGCATCGCTAAGTTCTTTTCCACCTCCGTCTCAACGGGAAAAACATGATCCCCGTCTGGTATCGACTAATTTTTTCCTGTCACCATGGACCATGATATTTTAAGGATCAAGGTCTGGGCCAAAAAATACAATCCTTTCAAGGTTCACCTCAACACAGGAAAAACAACACATCACAAGGATTTACAGGATTTTTTGGCATCTTGTGTTCAGGATTTTATAGGACTACAAATGGTCAATTTTCCGGGAACCTCTAATGTACACCAGTGCGGCCGAACACTGTAACTGTTGTTGGACCTACAGGAAAAAGTTCAATACCAGACAAGGTGGGAGAAGAGGGAGGGCAGGACGGTGAATGGAAAAGAAGCCCAGCCAGACTTTTGGCGTCAGGGGGCAAAGGGGTGTGCGCAGGTCATGTCTCAAGTGTAACGCCTGCAGATCGCGCCGCCAATGTGTTGCGACGCACGGATCGTCCGCAGAAATTTGCACGCAGAGTGGGCTTCCAAACGCTAGTCAGTTTTTGCAGGTGTGCTGTCCATGATCGCGACCACATTTCATGCACGCATGGAGGCCCTTTGCACAACGCGCAGCTTTCCCATCGTCTTTTGCTTTGGCATTGTGCCCATGCGGCTAATTGTGATTGAAACAGAAAGCAAGACCTTGTGTGTTCCGCGACTCCAACCGCAAAAAGCCTTCGGCCATGTTGACCTTCTTGGTGCATCCCTTGCTCACTAAGCTTCGTTCGTTGAGAAGGGAAAAGAAGCTTCTCTTGAGAAGGTGTCCCTTTGTAAAATCCTTAGCATGTTTTTGGTCATATTTGGCTTAGGTTAGCACAGGAAAACATAAGATAGTCGTCAGGAAGTTCCCCAGGACATGACCTCCGCGACGTTTCATTTCCAAGGACATCCATAGAACCTCAACACAAGATGTTACTCTTGATTTTTCCCTCCAAACGTCCAACTTTGCCACAGGTTTTTGTAGAACCCGACACCGGTACTTCCTAGGGATTCTTATAACATCAAGTTGTCCACCCTCACTGGGGTAGTGCAGATACAAACGCTTTGCCCTTTTCCACCTCCCAAGTGCTTCCTCCGTGGTGCTCCTGTCCGAGTCACCTTCTCCCGTGGCCAGGCTTTCACCTCCGCCATCAGCGCATGCGGCCGTGCGGCGCAGTGGTCCTTCGCCCAGCTGCTGCTCGCGGGCGCGCAGCCGCGAGGCGGTGTTGGAATGGCATTTCAACGGCCGGATTGGAATGCATTTAAGCATCCACCAGATTTGGAAAGTTTTCAACCATCCGGAATGGATTTAAACATCCACTGGGTTTGAATGCCCAAAGCCAACTGGTCCAAATCTGTGTATTAGTTTGTTAAGATGAATCTGGATTTTTGGGCAGAAACGACAGGTTTGGGCAACCCCTGGTTCTCAGGTGCTGCTAGACCGCCAGACAGGCTACGATTGACGTTCGGGTTAATTCCCATGCAACGGCCTAAGGGATATTTCATGACATGTTGTGACCCGGCTAGCAAAACATGTTCTTAGGAACAAGGTTCGCTACGTACGGAGCAGTCTTTGGACGCTACGTACGGAGGTCTTTGTTCGCTAAAAGACCAATAAAGCTTAGTAGCGTATCCCAGGCCTATCCCATCTCGTCGGTCCAGGCCTTGCCGACCCCCTGTGCCGGAATGCCCTGCTCTCGGCCCTGGGGCGGGCGGCACGCTGGCAAGAGGCCTTGACCATGACGCCTGGTCACGAAGCCGGTGCCGGTTGGGATTTGGCTGGAAGTGGAAAAGCCAAAGAGCCATGAAGAAGGCAGATATGGGTTTGTAGGGAGACCTCCCAAATGGATTTAGTTAGTTTTTGATTTTCCCAGAGGTTTTGAGGTTTTTGAGGGGTCTCCCTATTCTAATACACACCCATATGGATGAGGGTGTGTCTCCGACGACTTTGGACTGAGATGAACCAGGAAGGGAGATCTTCGGTCTCCCTGCTCCTTGTCGAACAAAGACATAGACAGAGTATGGTGGCTTTGAGTGATCATCCGCGTTTGGGGATGCAAGTTAGTACTTTTGACATTGGAACTCGAAGGTGGTCTGCTGGCGATTTGGAACCACCCAGGGAAATCCACAGATGTCAGATTCCTCTTTCTCTTCAGAGGCTACGGATTTTGGACCCACAGAAGCATCAATTGCTGGCTGGCAGGGCTTAACAACCGCCGAGGGGTCGAAGAATCCTAGAAGAGAAGAGGTCTCTGCCAGCTGATATGGAAGGGCCCAAGTGAAGCCAGACCTGGTAGCCTTGGTTGAGTTGTCGTGGCTTTGTTCAATAGCAGATTGTTTCAGTGTGGCGTGTTCTTGAGTATGGATTCTCCCCAAGTATTGGCCAAGGTTCCCCATGACTTGGCTGTGCAGTTGCCGGTATCATGGAAGTGTTTGTGCCCAGGCTAGCTACTCTGGGGGAGCAGAGCAGCACAGCTTCGTGGAATGCCAGTATCACAGCTTGCGGCTCGTCTTCCTTGTTTTCCTCGTTCAAACCTTATAGTTGGGTTTTTGCAATCGCTTTTGGGTTCGCAGGACTGCAAGATCGTACGGTTTGATCATTTGGTATCCAGGAGATGCAACTGGACTTCAATGGCTTACCACATGTAAAGGAAATTATGACCAACATCTGGGCGGCATGGAAAAGGGTTTCTTAGGATCGCAGTTCGTCGGACTCGAGCAAGTGTCGGTTTCGGGGATGCACATACTTTATATACTTGGTTTCAATATATATATATAAATATGTAAATATATATATATATAGAGGTAGGGCCATAGTGTTATTGTGGGAGACACGCTTAGTGACACCCAAGAAGTCGCCCGGTACTATTCTTGCGCTTAAACAGCGGCAGATTGTTGCGCACGGCGCACGGCTCCTTGGGGCACCTACTCACTTCAAGCTGGAGCTTTCACCACTAGAACAAGAAGCTACTAGGGGCTCCTGGCCTTACTACTAGGAGCAAGGACGCTACTACAAGGAAGCTCTTGTCTCACCCCCAAAGTGGAGACCAAGTCTGGACAAGAAGCGGGTAGGTTGATTGTGTTGGGAAGGCAATGAATTTCTGGCTCATCTCGGAGACTGTCGGCGATGTTTGTGGCTAAAGCATGCCAAAGCCAGGTAAAGGGTCTTCCTCGATGAAAGACACGTTCTCCTTTCCTAGAGCGACCCAGATGTCCAAAAAGAGTGTAATTAGCCGACCTTTTTCCTCTTTGAGGTGGGAGTCTTTGCCGAATTCGGACCGGCGAGCAACATGGAGGCTTTCAACAACGATCCCGGGTCCCAGGAGATATACAGTACATGAAGGCGACCCCTTATCAATCACATGGTATCAGAATCATTTGGTTCTGCCTTGCGAACCGTTCGGATGGGGTCTACAATTTCCAGTGTTTTCAGGGCACCTTGCGACCCGGAGCTTCACCCAGGTGCTGAAGCTGCTGAGTGGCGCTCTGCTTTGGCGCTCCTAGCTGCAAGGTGGCCGGAAGACAATTGATCAAACATGCTGATTCTGTAGATGCTTGAGTGGAGGATGTCCTTTGGAATAGATCAATTTCTTCTGTCCATCATTGCAATCGTCCAGATTGATCACTGCACCAGCCGGGCATGGGGAACAAATAGGGAGCCAGGTCCAAAACCAACCACGATCACTGAGTTTTTCGTTTGTTCTTGTTTGGATCTCTAACAAGCACGGGAGCAGGTGACAGTTACTTGTACAACTGATGAAAGATGATGGAACACTGGATCACGTCCCCAAGATGGCCACAGAGTACTGCAGACTCTGGGAGTTTTGCTTTGACTTGGTGCCCAGACCTTTGGCAAACAATCTGGGAACATCAAACATCCGTGCAAACGTCATTGTCGCGTTGCTGCAGTCGGTGAAGACGGACACTCAGCAAGTGGTGCAAACGTCGTTGTGCCCTGATCCATGGAAATCCATCCTATACAGGTTTGGATTCGTAGTTTGGCAGGATCTAAGATGGCTCTTTCGATGGGGCGATTTCGGAGATCTTAGATGATCACGAATTGTGCGACATTGCGCATTGCGCTGTGACTTGAAGACTTTGATGGCAGTTTGCAGGTAGAGCACGGAAGATGTCATGTTCTTCCCCTTGAGAATGAATTGGTCCTGTTCTGAGACTTTTTGACTTCTCAAGGATGACTTCTTACAGTATTTGGTTGTTTCTGCCAGAGACAACCATGGTGATGGCAACTCTTTTTACGCTGTTACTTCCAAAACCATGGCCGCTCAAGAAGCCCAGTACGGTTCACCTGTCTTTTTTGTGACCCTAAACTGTACATGCACCTGTGGTACATGTTTCTCCTGGCTCGTCGTCTCAAAGAGATGCGTTTTCATTTCTGTTTTCGGTTCGATCCCAGGTCGATCCCAGCAAAACACCGGCTGGTCACGTCATGTCAGGCGCCGTTCTTTGACTAGCGACCTGGTCTCCTTCAACGCGGCGCTGGCGGCGCTGAGGAATGCCAGCTGTTGGGAGAAGGTGGAGCGCCGAAGATTTCATTTCGACTGTCGTAGATTGGAAGGTGAAGAAGGCGAAGGGTGATCAGCATGGGGACTAACGTTGATTATTTGATACATGACGACGCATCATGACGATGTGTTCCATATGAAGAGGTATTATATACTATAATACATGGTTTTACAATCCATGTTCATTTTTTTCGGGTTGTTCATCAAGAGTCTACATTACCGTTGATGGTAACTATATTGGTGTTGTTTTTCATCATGTATAATAAGCAATACATGACACTTCTTAAGGAGGCCTTTTCACATTGCACTTCCAGTCGAAAGCTGTTCCCATCAGCCTTCCAGCTGTATCCTGGCAGTCGTATCGACAGCCTTGGCTGATCCAGGTGCACATCTCGCGTGACATTCACGCGAGGTTGCTTTCGAAGCACTACCTTGAGTCTGTTTTATGAAGGGTGGCTAGCAGTCGAAGGATTGAGCAATCAATAGTCTCCCGTAGTCTGCCAGTTCCGCATTGATTGACAAATTTAGAACTTGATGGCAAATCAAATCAGACATAATCAGACGTTCATCACACCGCCAGCCACATGAATTTTGTTCAGTCAAGACAAGTACAATCAACACATCCATGGTTGGTCCAAACGAGCACCCTTACATCCTCATGATCACCCGAACCAAAACGGTCAAACCCAGGTGCTCGGCCTCTTCGAGGACATGCTCTGCAGCAAGCTCCGTCCGGTGCCTGGGCGCTGGTCGTTTCACAGACGTCGGTGCCGCTCGTTTCGAAAGAAAAGGGCAGGTGTATATTAAGTATATTGACACACACACACACACACATGTATGTGGGTGTGCCCACCACTTTTTGCGTGGGTGACTCTTTTCCCAGTGAGAACCGGTCTGTTGGACTTTGAATTTGTTTCGTTCCAGTGTTTTCCTAGGTTTTCCACTTTGTTTTGGTGTCTTTTCTAAAGCCCAGCTGGTTCAGCCCAGAGTTACCCACGGGCCCGCTCCCCCACTTCATCCCATTTCCGACCAGCAAAGCACTCAGCACATCGAGTCCTGCCTTATTGATCCACACGTTTGGATTTCAGCCCAGTTCACGTCACTCCGCACTCAGCACTGTCGCACAAGCTCTCAGGATGACAGTAGCCTCTCGACTGCTGTGGCCGCTCTGCAGCGGGCTGGAAATCCCCAAAAGGGGCTTGACCTTTGGAACCACCACCAGCAGAGTGCAGACACTGCAGTTTCTTGGCCGAGTCAGTCGAACACACATCCATGCGGTCGCCTTTACCCCGTCAGTGTGCCAGTCAGCCTTGCTCAGCACATGCCGCACTTGTTCGAACAAATGGTTGACTGGCATGAGTACACCCCAAGTCTCATTCTTCAGAAGTCTTCATTCTCTAAGCACTCTTAGGGTCTATCAGATCTATCATGCTCATGACTTTCTAGACACACGGCCCGTTGACAAGTTGACTCACACTAAGTCCTACACGGCTGCACTGAAGTGTGCAGCCGATGCTGATGCCTGGTGCCTCGCCTTGTGGCTGACGCAGGAGATGCAGCAGAAAGGCGACTGTGACTGGACTCGGAGGACTCGGAGGACTCGGAGGACTCGGATGGGGTCTGGATCAGCCCGGCCATGTTTGGAGTCCAACTTTCCAAAATATACCGCAACTTCGACATGAATCTTGACCCAACTGCGCCGGCTCGGCGCACCGTATTGTGCCGGGCATTGCGAGCTATAGGGCAACAATAAGTTTGTACAACATAGAAGATGAAGGCTGAATGCAACAGGTGTGACATCCGTGGAACAACTTCACCAGGGCTGGACAAGAAGCGAACAAAAACCAAGAACGCAGCATCAAGCAATGATGGAAAGATCAACATCCGTTCTCTTCTCAATGTTAGCTCTTTTTTTTCTCGATCTTTTGGCATAGGGAGCAGCTGGACAGGTGCTCTTTCCGGTTGTGGCGGGCGGTTGCTGTTGAACAACCCGATGTGCCACGCGTTTGTTCTCGATTGAGTGGAACGGCGATGTCGAAGTCACGGGAGCGCGGAGCGAGTCGGGAGCTGCGTGGGGTCTTTCTCCGATGGATTGTGGGAAGTCTCGGATTTGGACCAGGGTTCCAGCGGTTCCAGGACCAGGATTGGTGGATTGGTTCGATCCGGACCAAATGATCGAGACAAGTCCGTGTAGCTGAGTCAGAGAAGAGGTAAGAACTACAGCCTCAATCGTGGAAGGATGAGTCCCTCTCCTCCCCTCAGCCTCAGCCCTGCCAGGGGTCCCCTGCCAATCTAGACGAACGATCCCCGGTCACCCACTGAATCCTCCCTCCCTCGGTGCCGTCTGATCTACCACCCACCGCTTCCATCGGGCTCACCGCTTTCCGCGCCTTTCCATGCTCTGGTGTCAGAAAGGCATCTTCCGAAGCCGCCTGGCGGAGAAGGCTCGGACTGGGCGAGTTGCGGCCAAGACAGTGGGTCTGGTGAATTGCTCTTGGGATGGTCATGTTGTGATGGTCATCAAGGTTTTGGTTGAGGGAACAGTTGCGAAGCAGTGATCAAACGAGACCACCAACAGAAAGAGACCACCATGATTTTCATCAAGCATGGTGCACCTGGAGAACCTCATCATTCCTAGCCCAACATCTCCCTGTGCACTGGAACCACATTTTGACGGTGGTCAAAACAGATGACCCTCCATAATCATAGGTGTGGGCAGAGGGTTCACCCTGCCGTGTCGAGAATCACCCGAAATCAGACATCTCGCTTCGCCTGTGAGAGAGAGACATCTCCCGGATCGGTCGGATCCGGGATCCGGTCGGACGGGGGGGGGTCCGTTTCTTCCCATCGACCCGTGAGGCCCTCCTCCGTGCCTGGGCAAGGGCCCCAGTGCTTCAGCTTCCAAAGGTCAAGCAGCTACTGTCGGAGGAGTCCACGGGAGTCAGCGTGCCGTTGAGAACTGTGAGGCAGATCTTGGGGGCACATGGAAAGACACCCAACCTACCCAACCCGTTAAAACTGGTTTTCAGTTTTTGGGACTTTTCTCGCTTTTCTCCTCTCCCCAGCTCATCAGGAGGATCTGGCCTCCTTGGCCTTCTGTCTGGAGAAGCGACATCACAGCCCCTGGGCTGGGAAGACTTTGCAATTGGGCTGGAACCATCTATTTTTTCTTCTTCCACGGGGGTCAAACGGTATCCTATTACATACTCACTTGCATTCACTTGGATTGGCATGACATGGTGGACTTACGAGTTGTTGGTTTTTGCGTCGTGAATAACGCTCCATAAATTCACCTGGAACCCCAGAATGGATGGACTCGACGAAGCATAATTTCCTCTTGGAATCTTGTGGGGTTCGTGCTGTCAGTTGTTGGGATCGTGCTGTGAGAGTTGATGGACTGCACTACTTTGATCATTCCCCTCAAAGAGAGTACATTGTACATCGAGTCGTGGCTTGTTCTCCACACTCAGATGATACAGGATTTCTTCCTGTAAGAGTAGGTGGGGGAAACCAGTACTTAAACGGGCGCTTCTTTGATACCCTGCTGTTACTTTGCGTAGACATGCGCTTGCCGCCACACACACACCATCTATCGGTCTGGCAGAGGTTTGTCACGACATATCTTCTGCAGACGCGATTACTCTCCCGAAGTTTTGCGGCATCCCGATATGAGGACCGATACATTCATTGAACGTATAGCTTCTTGTTACTACTAGTAAGGCACTTGAACGTTTAGCTTCCGTTCCTAGTAGCTTATTGTTTCTAATAGCTTCTTGTTACTACTAGTAAGGCCCTTTGCTCCTAGTAGTCTCACCAGTTGGGACATGGAACCGATGTCAACTCTTTGGCCAGGCCCCTCCTCCGAGACCGTCGCGTGGTCCTGGCCGAGCTTCCCCAGCCAGCCTCTACCGGCGGAGCTGGTGCCACGCATGGCGCTGCAGCCGGTGGGGCTGAGGGGAACTGAGAAGGAAGTGATTGAAGGTGTAGATTTCCCTACTAGGACAAGAAGGCTCTCAAAGAAGAGCACGATGCTGGAAGGGAAGATTTTTTTGTTTTTTTGAATTTATATAGTCTTTTTGCAATACGATGGATGATCAGGAATCGGCGCCCCATTGCGTCTCGAAGAACTTGCACGCACACTAGATCCACTATCCCAAGCATCTCCCATGTGATCTACCAACCGCAACCGCAGCCCCTCAAAAAGAAGTTATATATATATATATATGTAGCAAACATAAGATTTCATCAAGAAGGAAGTGTCTCACTGGACCTCCAATGTCCATTTTCGGCTGCAGCTCTGCGGTGAAGGTAACAGATCAGAATACAGAATACCTGACTGGACACACTCACACGCGGCGCGGGTGGCACGTTACGTGGCAAGTCCCTTCTGCAAGGTCTGTGGAGAAACCCGGTCTTGCTCGGTGAGGTGAAGAATTGAGATGCAACGGTTTCTGTACTTCCAGAGTGCCGTGACCCAAGCCATAACCATACTACTGTAACTGTATCACCTTTGAGCATTTTTGAGCCATAACCGTACTACAACCTTTGAGACATAACCATACTATAACCGCAAACATTTTCCCAACTCCAGTTTGGATCATTTTCCAGCATCCCCGAATAAATGTTGTCTTTCCGGTCTCCTGGTCCACTTTGGGCATCCTAGATTGTGCATGGAAGATCTCTAGGCGATCTTTCGACTTGCTGGTGTCGCTGCGGGGTCATCTTCACCCCACTCAAGAGGGAGCTGTCGCTGTCGCGACGATGGAAGTTTCTAAAGTACTCGGTCGTCATGGAGTGTCCCCATGGGAAACATACCTGTAGCTTTTTGGGATGACGACGGTTCGTGCTTGGGGGATCCTTCTCAAGCTTTCTTTCTTAACAAGGGAATACCGGGAAGGGGAACGAACAGCGGGATGGAACATGATTACAACAAGACACCGTCTAGAATCTAGACCCAAATTTGATCCACTCATATCCATAGAAAAGCTCTCAAACTTGAAACCCTTGCCCTTCTGCTTGGCTTCACCAAAAGCTTCAGCCACCCGCTTGGTCCCCAGCTTTTCCCTTGCCCTGCCTGGCCAGGTGGACCTGACACCAGTGGCTGCGGCCCTGGACCCCACTTGGCGCCTGTGGCCTTTGGGCTCCCGCGCTGAGGGCCTGGCCACCGAGGAGAGGTCTTTCTCCGCGAGATCTGGAGGTGTCCGCTCGGTTCTTGGCAGGTTCTTCTTGACTCCTGCAGCAACGAGTTACTTCTCGGGTTGGTTGCTTTTGGCGATCTTTCAAGTTCTGGTGCGTTTTGGTCCTCTGGAGCCTCTCGATAAACCACTTGAATGAGAGACTGCCGTGGGACATCTAACAGATTCTGCCAGCATTTTTCCAGCCGGGGGCGTTGGGCCCATCTTGTGATGCTGTCTTGTTGGTTGTCATTTGATTGTTTTTTTCCAATGCTTTGGATCAGGACAAGGGGGACAAGGGGGGCTGACAGACTGGGTTCAAAAAAAGAGATGTGAGGGGTCAACGCCAACGTATCTCCTAAGAAACGCCGCGCGTCGAGTGTTCCTCGGACTCTCTAACAGACGAAGTGGCCAATGGGCACTTGGAAGACTACCTGAATTTCATGGCAGTTTTGTCACAACCTTTTAGGTGCAACACGGAAGCTAGTAGTAACAAGTGCATCGCTACTAGGAACAAGTGCATTACTACTAGTAACAATAAGAATTTAATTAGAATTGTAATTACTAGCAAAGGAATCTACTAGGACCTTTGACACCTTCTTCTCTCACTGGTGCAACACGTAGGGAAAGGGAGCGCCTCCAATTCCCAGGTTCATGCATCAGGCAGCTTGGTGAAGGGGGGTTGATACTTGGTTGAGTGACTTGGTGGTACACTCTGGGCCGGGCCCGACACCACTCCTTGCAGGACAGTGATGTGGATGCTACGATCATCCTGCCCAACGGCCTCCAGGGTTCGTTCGAAGAGCAACGCGACCCTCAGCACGACCAAGTTTGCTGCCTTTGATAGATCTCAAATGAAGACTATCAAAACCTCTTTAAACTATATATATATATATCATATAATGTATATGTAGACTCTTGATTAATAACCCCCCGTATGAAGAGGCTTTACAAGCATTTTTTTCAAACTCTTAATTCTACATGAGATCATAGGCTTTGCGTGGCTTGTTCTTGATCAAGGTGAAACGATGACACCCCTCGGCCTTTGCAGAATTCATTTGCTTTCAACGCTCATGGAACAGCCCAGTATACACTGTAGAAAGAGTTGATTTGAAGATGAGAGCAACGTGAGGACTTAAGAGACCTTTGACTGTTTCAACCGTAAAACCTACAACTCACGAAATCGTCTTAAGAACTCCAGAAATAGGTAGATGGCTTTGAATGGGAGCAAAACCGATCTCTCCTTCCGCCCGAGTCTCCACGGGAAGTTTGCCGGAGAGTCTGAGGAGCTGCAACGACAGACGCTTCGGAGAGTCCGTGCTTCCTTGCCGCAGGCGCGCGCGGGGATTGGCGCTGGATTCAAAGCATTGGCCCGTTCAATGCCCAGAAAAAGACCCGATGTGAAGACCATTTTAGTTACATATAGAACAATCAATGCACACAGAGGTTTGCAATGTACAGGTTTATCCAAATTGTATGCATGATCATGGTATTATGTGACTGCATGTATGTGTACATATAGTTCACCTCTGGACCAGATAGCCAGAGCTGTGCGCTTTGGAGCCTGGGTGTTGGTGCCGATGCTAGACGTCTTGGGTGCTGCGAGCTGGCTGTGCGCGTTGTGGAGAGCATCATATTCCACTACAGCGGATATACATGTGTATTTTAAAATAACTACTTGCATCATATTCCACTATTTGTATATGCGGGTACATGTGCGTTTTTAAAATACACATATACCCGCATATACGTACAACATCATATTGTTTTGATCGTGCAATACATGCCTGTAGCAGCACCTTTAGCTTGAAACATGAGTGTCAAAAGGCTGCTTCAGAACGCGGGAGCCTCCAGAGTAATGCCGCGTTGTGTTTCAAAATGTCTGGCTTTGCGTTGCATTTGCTATGTTCGAATTCTTGTGCGTGATGCCTGTGAAAGCTAGGAACCGTACTGTGTGTGTGCACATACTTTTGCACGTATATGCGTGTACGCGCAACATCCGGATGTACTGTTTGCACGTTTTTGTGCGCGCACACTTTTAACATCTTCTACACGCAACATCATATTTTTTCATCGGGGCAACACATATGCTGGAACAGCATCTTTTATTCAGTGCGCTTGACGTTTTGTTGGGCCCACTTGCGGGCACATGGGATATGTGTGACTTAATTACTTCATTTCTTTGTCTCAGGTGCTTCTGTCTATAAAGTTAGCTGCTATCTGGGGGCTATGCTGGTGTAATTTTCAATCAGGAATTTACAATCGTTTTTATATGTATTTATATATAATATGTATATTTGCATACACTAGGAACTCTCTGGTTCAAGGCTAGAAAGGCGCACCGCACGCACCACACTGACAGATGCATGGAGATTCTTGCAACGTCTACCATCAATCATGATGAGTTGGGCATGATGACGGCCAGCTGGAAACTTGCCAGACAAACAACAACGACTTGGGGGAAGAATCTAAGTGCAAGACAACCTGCCTTGGAGACCATGGAGGATTTTTCAGCAGCTCTAATCCTAGTGATTGCCCATCCGGATGGCAACACCCATCCTTCACATGATCCATCTCGTCTCCCAGGCGGTGCGGGTGGATGAGCTTGTCTTGGAGGCGAAGCGCCCGATCCTTCGGCTCCACTGGGAGGACGCACACGGTGAAGGCGGGGCGCGCGCCAGTGGACTCGGGTGGACGATTGGCAAAGGCCTCAGATCGTTGGGTTCGTGGACGAAGCGACAAAAGGCATGGGAGGCGCTTCAATTGGAAGTCTCAACATTCGGAGGCTTGTCCGATTGCTGGTGAGTTTGGCGGCCTTTGTGAACATCCCCACTGTCGCAGACAAAGCACTTTGATACAATTTTTCAAATCCTCCAATCCGCAAAGGAAACACTTCAAGTAGATTCACGACTTCTCCTCGATTCACCCGACATCCTGCTGCTCCCCCCCGCGTTTATAACGCCGCGTGGCGAGTCGTGCAGCGTTCGAGGCCGGATCTGGAGGCGTGGCGATCTGTCGGTGGAGAGCCGCCAGGGCGCCCAGAAGAGCGCCTTAGTGGCGCAGCATGTGCTGCTGGGGCATCCCGCGCTGGGCGCCGCCTGTGCCATGCTGAAAAGCTGGGCCAAGAGGTCGGGTTGAGTCAGAGTGTGGTTCTACAACCAATGTAGTAACAAGAAGCTACTAGTAACAAGTGCATCGCTACTAGTAACAAGTGCCTTACTAGTAATAACAAGAAGTGGGAGGGTCCATACCTTGGGGTGCGAACCGATGGTCCTTTCTTTTCGAGTGTCACTTCCAGAACATGCGGCGCTTCGGTGCGCAGGGCAAGCGAAACCTCTGCTTTTGGTTTCAAATCCAATCCATCATCCTCAGGAAGCAGAATGGGTTTGATTCATCCAGGAAGGACCTCCTTGAATTGTTCGGCGAATTTGATCGGAAGGCGATGCATCTATGGCCAAAGCCACGGATTTCCTTCAGGTTTGGGTGGCTCGGCTTTCAGGACTGACTTGACTATAATGATTGTTGCAGAGTTGGTTTTTGGATCCCTGAATCTGTGAAGATTTCTGAGGGAGGCTGAGGTATATAATCATGGCAGCATATATCAATCTGTTTCAGATAGGTAGAAATGTGTTTTGTTGATGGTAATCCTCAAATCCTCTAGAACTGGTGAGGGTCCTGGGAACATCTATAGAATCTATAGGGACTGTTCTCGTTGTTGCTCGCAAACAGATTGAAACTGAACCACAGTGCAGGCGATTTTGTGAGAAATACCTTCAGTAATCACAAGGAATCTACACACGCACACACCACACAGCTGCAGACTTAGATACAGTACCACCTGCCACTTTCTTGTAGCCTTGGTCCGGGCTGGGTCTCTGTTCTTGGCAGGCTATCTGTTGGGAAAATCCCTGTCACTACAGAGGAGCCCTCCCGCTGCACAACATCTCAGAACTGCGGAACGGACCGAACGGATGACCTCGCCATGTTTGCCCTCCGGCCTTCTTTGAAGATGTTGCACCATGTGTTCACCACCCGTCGCGGGTCCGATTGGGTGGTTGTGCTTCGCGGTCGGGTGCGCCAAGCCGGACATCCGACCTCGAAGGCTTCAGCTGCCTGGGCATCTTCGCCGCGCAGCAGATGCGGCCAGCGGCTGCTGTGTCGATGGAGTTGAAGGCCGCGAGATGTCCGACACCACACTGGTGGACGGCACAGGTCAAGAGGAGTTGCATGGAAGCCATGGTTTGCTGATCCGAGCCACAGGATGGACCGATCAAAAAGCACAGGCACAGAAAATCCAAGTGGAGTCCCAATCCGGGATCCTTACTTATTTATTTTTTTTATGGGCAACAAAAAGAACAAGAGAACCCATGGATTCATTGGAGTCGCCCTGAGGGGCTGACCACTGACCACGCCTTCCTGCCGTGGTCCACGTACCCGAGACTTGTTCGGTGCGGAGGATCTCTGGTTAACGGTGAAGCAAGGCTTTCGGACATATCAGAGCACAACCAAAGCAGAGGGGGGGCTTGAATCAGACCCTCCAAACGGCAGTTGAATGTGGGCCCAGCGGGTTGATGCACGTTGTAGCCGCCATGGCGGAGCCGGGGAACACTGAGACACATGGTTTTGAATCTTTTGAACATTGTCGTGCAGATGATGACTATCAGATGATGACAATCGAGCTAATTTACTTACCAGAGTTCTCTCTCCCAAAAACTGTAATCTAAAGAGGCCAACAAATCAGTGGTCCCCTTCAAGGCGTTTTCTTGAAATCTCAATCATGCCATCTCGAAATCGCCTCCCAACTCTATTTCACCTGGCTTTCCGTTTCTCTCCCTTCTTAGAAACCCGGTGAGGTTGGCGAAGTGGCCAATCTTGAGGAGGCCGGGCATCTCCACTGTGATACCATCTACTGTTTCGTGTGGTTCGTCATGGGGTCTCAACTCCTGGACATCAGAAGTTAAACAAAAGGCCTCATCACTGATCTTCATGATTTCTTGTTTTCCTGGTGCTCTGTCACCTCCAAAGTACAGCTCAAAAATAAAGATGGGTCTGGAGTCTGGAGACCTCGCATGTATAGAAATGGCTGGTCACCGCGACCTGCATCCTTGATGTGGGTGTGTGGAAAAGCACAAACATCCGCAACCAATAGGTTGTAGTTCTTGGTTTCGTGAAGTGGACCATAGGCCGGGTTCCGCACACCTTCCCGCCGGGTAGTCCGCCCTTCCGTGTCTATCAAAAGCCACTTAGACATGATTCGGGGTGTCTCCATTCACCATCCCTACCGTCGGTCCTGGGTCGCCGGTTGGCAACTTGTTGGAGCGACGTACTGGCGGCGCCCGAGCATCGTTGGAAGGAGGGTCGGATCCAATGCCTTGCTCGCTGTGGACGGTTCAACTGTCTGTTGTCCGAATTTGGTGTGTGAAGCAGGATTCCCCCGAATTGAGGGCCCCTGCAGGGCCCTATCTAACGTAGGGGTCATATATTTTTTGTGGTGCTTTTGTAGAAACCCCATTTTGACTGTCACAGCGTGTCTTGCGTGTCTACCTAGTGCCACGTCGCCTCGCCTGGTCTCCACGGCAGGTCTACGAACAGCTCCAGCGCTCACAGCAACGCTCCGAGCTCTTGGAGGATTTACCACGTCTGCTGCAGGGCATCTTTCGCTTCTATGCTGCGCTCTGGCCTGAATCAGGGCGCCTTTTCCGGGTTGCATTGGCCCAGCCGGTGGCCAAGAAGGGCAGGAGGCTTTTTGATGATGGTCTAAGACAGGACTGCGGATTTGATGCCTCCATGGCCACCCTAGCCCGCCGACCCATGCGGGCGCCACTGAAGTGACGATCCACTCCGTTTCTATACATTCCATGTTTGTACATTATCCTGGCAAGAGACGCCAAACAGTGTCAAGTAGAAGAAGACAGGGGTAGTCCAGCTTCCGCACTCTAGAGTACACGCATGAAAGTGCACATATGCGAACAAACACCTAAGAGCACAGATATGAGAGCACAAACATGAGGGCACGCATGTGAGAGCACCCATGTGTATTGCAAAAAAATAATGTCATAGTATGGTAAGGCATGGTGTATTTCGTTGTATTGTATTGTCATGTAACGTGATGTAAGAAATGTACGTAATTATTTGTTTATGTATATAAATAAATAAACAAAGAACAAACACACACACACACACATATATATATATATACACACGAACATAGACGATATATTTAAATGTATATGTAAAATTATGTAAATGTGTATGTGTGTATTATGTGTATATGTGTATGATTGTGTATGTACATGTGTATGTGTGTTGTGTGTGCGGAGTATGTAATTATAATGTAATGTCATGTGCTGTGCTGTGCTGTTTACTGTATGTATGTGTGACCGCCCATGAGTTAGAGCTTGCAAGAGTAGGTTTGTTCCGTGAAGAACCACTTGCATTGGATGTTGTTTGGATCATACCGCAAAGGGCCCCTTCCGAAGTCGATGGTGATGCCGACTGTGGATGTTCCGATCCGCTGACGCCGAACCCTGCGGCGGTTGACGCCGAGGAAGACTTCGATTGGGCAAAGGATGCTGTCTCGTTGCACTGCAGAACTCTAGTCAACCGCCAACCTGCCCGGCTGAGCATTGAAGACCCTGTCACTTGGCTGTGGAGAAGTTCGGATTTGGGTGATGGGATTCAGTTCTTCGATGGATTTGCAAAGAAATGCATTTCTGACGACAGATCGGGCGCGCGAGCACGCATGAGGTGGAACTTCAGCTCGATTTGGCACAACCATACATGGACCAGGTGCGAGGAGATGTTCTTGAGACTTAAACCAATGGATTCGCAGCGCAGATTTAGGCGCTTGGTTTGTAAGATTCAGATTCTTGTGTGTCAGCGGTTTATTCACAAGTCAGTCTATGATGTTTGCCATTGGATTTGAGATGTACTCTTATTTTTTTGAACCCGCATCAGTGGGACCAGAATAAAGGGACCCTGACATTTTCATGGGGTCATGCGGGACTTGGTCTATGGTGGTTCTCCATGACATGGTTAGGGGCATGGTCATGGGGTTATCTGTGGGATGTCGAACGGCACCCATTTAGTATTTTGTCCAGATGTGCATCCCTTCTTTCTCATTCTTTCTTTGTTCCTCATCAGTCGCCGAGAGCCGTACGGGCTTTGGGCCAGCTAAAATCGTTTCTTGGACTTGGACACCGTACCAAAACGAGTGGCAAGGGGTCTACACTGAAGGTTGCAAGGGGTTTGCACTGACCAGGTTACGCAATCTTGTCTTGTGGCTGATCGCAAGCGGGAGGGCGCTGCGCGCAGGATGCTAGAGATACCGTTGGATTCCAATATTGGTTCAGTGGTTAGTCATTCTTTCCTCCTTTGAAGAGCGAGTTTTCAACTCAACCTAGTGGTGGTTCAAATAGACAGCACTTTTCAAAGGGCGAGGAACATGTTGACGGGGTTGGAGAGACTCCTCTATTTGGTCGACCCGCACCTCATGCAGAGTCTCATGCGCCCGTTCTGTCCGCCGCCCGCCGCGCTCAGTTCTGTCCAGGTGCGCTCTGATCTCTTGCAACGTGAAATGAGAGCCGCCCATGAACAGCTCCGAAAGCACCGCTGGGAAGCCTTTGGAGCGAAAGATGGTGTGCAGTGTTGCTGATGGTGTTATCCAGTTCTGATGACACAGAATGACATTGGACATGATGTTTTTTGAGCACCATTGGGTTTCAAAAAGGCAACCGTTTTTTTCTTGTCTGTACGTTCTTTTTATTTTACCTTTTTTGAAGGGTTTTAGCCACAGGAGTCAATTCTCGGTCAACCGTACTGTTTTCAACGGCGCGGAGTTCCGACACACCCGAAACTTGCGGTCCTCATGTTGGGGCCCGGCATCGAGTGGACTCGTCGCACGTCCGAAAGCACGTCCAAAGGTCCAAAAACACGGGACGTCTACCGACCTCCCAGGGCCGGTGCTTCGTTTCCTGTGGTAACCACCGGTTTCGGGGGGTTTCCCCCGGTTTCCTGGCGAGAGGGTCTGAGCCGAAACCGGCAGGGGAAAAACATGCCCCAACAAAAACCATGCCAAAAACCTGACGTTCTCGAAACCATGAAAGGCTTTACAAGAGTGGATTTTGGGCATCTCGACGAACTCGTCTCAGCTGCTGGTGCAGGATTTGTCGAGATCTAATGTTGATTTGATTTGTACCATTTGCTCTTAAACCTACTGTAGGCCACTGCTTGGGAGAAGGAGGGGAGAAGTAGTACAGTAACTTAAGTTAAACGTATGAAATTAATTGAAATTAAATTGATATATATAAATATATATATATATATATCGTGTTGATGGAAGGAAGGAAGACAGAAATTGCACCAGCAGAGAGAATTCCATCATAGAATTCCCCAGTTTTCACTGTTTTCAGCTGGTGCTTTTTTCGGCAAAAACGGCACACAACAAGCCTCAGCTTTGCCCGGCATTGCGGGGCACCCAGAGGAGCATCTGCATGAGCTGGGGCGGCCTGCGGGACTTCGAGCCACTTGGTCGATCTTCTCGAAGCCATGCCCTACCTTCTGAAAGCGATAAAGTCTGGAAGAAACGAGAGATGACGATCAGACTGAGGAGGAATGAGCTGTTGTTTTTTGCGTTCCCAAAAGCTGTAGGACTGGGTGTGTCTTGCGATTCTGACCTTCCAAAGCCACAGTTCGGAATGGTAGGTCTTTCAAAATTGATGGGTCTAGTTAGTCAGATATGTACCATTTGGGAATTCCCGGTTCGACGACCAAACCCACGTGAGGCACCAAAAGAACAACCATATCTTTGAGCTCTCTCTCTCTCTCTATATATATATATATAAATATCTATAATAGACTGACAGGCTTCGCCAACCGCCAATGCCCGCGGGGGGGATGCGTGTATGCGGAGGCGACTACTACGACCACTACTACTATTATTACTACTACTCCCACCACCACCACCACCACCACCACCACCACCACCACGACTACTAGGCACACGCACTCGCGCGCACGCACACGCACGACCGCACGCTCGCACGCACGCACCACGGCTTTTTAAATATCACGGCTTTGCAGTGGAAAGCACTCAAAGCGTTGTATTTTTGAATATTTTCGAGCATTTTCTAGCCCAAAGCTATCTGCGCTTAGGCTACAAAATGCTCAATACACAAGAATGAAGCCCACGTGGTGCTCGAAATGTCGGGCCGCAAACCAACATTTCGAGCATCACCGGGACGTAATATATTTTATTGAAAAACATCAAGCACACAGGAGAAATGGTAAAACATGGCAACTGTAAAACTTTATCTCTAGAGAAGAAAGTATGCCAAGAGGAGAGACAGTTTTGAGGTAGCACTTGTGTCATGCACCATTGGCCAAAATACGAACAGCGTTATTGATTAACTACTAAGAGGAGAAGAAGTTTATTTTTTGTTAGCAGTTGTGTCAAACACCATTGGCATCAACAGAATATGAGCAGCATTGTTCATAAATTACATACACGTTGCAAAAAGACGATAATTTACAGTGTTTTCTGCCTAGTCATACACCACAGGATTTGCATCTTTCCTGCCAAGACCTTGCTGATATGATGCTTGGCCAAAATTTCTCCTCAAAGCCTGTATCCATTTTCATTGCTTTAATCTTCTAGAGGTTTGGAAGCCGCTTTTTCATCCGTGGCCATTTTTGATCATTTTCCATGTGTTTTTGACGTTTTTTGACGAATCCACATGAACCCGTGCAACCCCTGGAGAAGACAATTCGCGCGCAAATCACAGCGGCACAGCGGCGGAGACCCACCAGCGCCGGCCAGCACCAGCCAGCACCAGGGCGTACATCCGACCCCCTGGAGAAGACAATTGGCTGGAAGACAGTTCAGCGGCGGACACCCGCCACCACCAGGGCGTACATCCGACCGGCTGGAACAGCCACTCGCCCAACAATACCACACGCAGCTGACGCAGCTTGCCACTTTTTTGCACTTCCTTCGCAGTCGGCGTTCACGCACACATGGCGTGGAGGCATCTACAAGGACCCAAGTTGGCCTTCACCAACTCTCACTGATGTCGTGGGAGAAATACCCATGGGAAAACAGATCTGTTAGATTCCATTGGGGCAAACATCTGGACTCAACTCGCACGCCATCGTCTCACACACCTGCATCATCTTGGGAAAAATCTGGCAACATTGCCTGAGCAAGGTTGCCAGAGACACAGCAAAAAAAAAACGCGGCAAGTTTGGCACTGAAAATTCACTCTTCTTGTGTCTCACCATACGTGACAATGGAAGACATGTTGCCACAGGCATTGAAGTTGTTGCTGCCAGCGCCCCGGCAAAGCCAATTAATTGCCACCACCGCATCCTGCACGATCAACCGGTTGCGGCAATAACATCTCTGGATTGAAGTGCTTATATATATATATTTATATTTTTAAAACATCTATATCTATCTATCTAGGTGTTGAGAAAGATGAGCAAGCACTAACCAGCTGCACCTTTCCAAACATGGCACATTCACCTTTCAGCTTGCAACCCTGCATTGCGCTACAGCTTTCTGTGGGCAAAGGTCAGCCAAGGAACGTGGTTTCTCCACATCGCCAGTCACAGGGCCCAACTCCATCAGCTTGACGGCGCAGCCAAAATAGCAATCTTCCTCCATGAAAGCCTCACCAATCAGCATCAAATTGAACGTCGTCTTCTGGAACCGAGAGTCGTCGGAGCCCACACTTACTGAAGACCTGGCACGCAAGGCCTTTGCCAAGGGACTGGTTCTCCACCGCTCTCATGTAAACTTTTAAACTCACCCCAACAACCAAGCCCTATCGGGGCCCGAAGAGGGTTTGGAGGGTTTGCAGGTGTCAGGCGGCAGTTTCCAACGCCATAAAAAAAAGTTTCGGGGCTCGGGACCATGCGGAGGTGCCAGCCGCCAGTTTCGAAAACCGTACCAAGCTCCCAGATCGGGGCTTGGGAAGGGTTTCTAGGGTTTGGAGGTGCTTGACGGGCCTGGGAAGGGTTTCTATAGGGTTTGGAGGGTGCCAGACGGCAGTTTCGAAAACACTAAAAAATCAGATGCGCAGCTCTTTAGCGCCGGTGCTCAAGACATGTGGCAGTGTCAATGTGCCTCATGGCCAAAAAACGTACCAGACGGCAGTTGCGAAAAACGTAGAAAGGCACGGCCATTTTGGGCGTTTGGAGGTGCCAGACGGCAGTTTCCTGGAAATTGGAGTCCGGCCGGGCCTGCTGTTCCGGGCTTGACGGGACAAGTGGCGCCGCAATGCAAAGGTTCCACACCAAAGGCGGCCCCATGCGCCGCCCTGCCGTAGCAAGTGCTAGGCAGGGTCGGCGGATATACCTGCTCAGAACTCTTGGCTCAAATCCCCAACACTGTTTGGCCAGTCCCACCCCCCAAAAAGAACCACCACTTGGGATTGGAGACATTCGAGTCCTGCCGTGGATTTATCCACGTCCATCCTCGTCGAGGTCTTGGACCTCTGCGCTCTTCGAGAGAACCGGAACCGCCGGGAGACCAGGCGCGGTTTTGGTTAGGTCGAAGCTTAAAAGGTGTTGGGTGTTCTGTAGCGCGTGATGTGGCCAAAGCGCCATAGGTGCTGATGGACCAAATCTGCACCACCTGAGATAGGAAACACCTTGGTGCTTTTGTTTCGGGCATTGTAGGTGGTGCAGAAGTTCTTCCACGCGGTGTCCAAGAAGCTTTCCCAACTGTCAAAGACTTGTTTCAGCCAATGATTCCAGCTCTCTTCCTTTGGCTGCCCGCATGAAGGACGGCCGCGCTCACTCCAACAGCCGACCCACATGCAAACCTGGCGGAAAAACAGGGGTGGGGGCTGGACCGTCCAAATACAATGTGAACCAAGAACTGTTCTTCTGGAGGATCCTCAAACACAGGGCGTCAGACTGGGCCTACTGGCTCGGCGCGAAAAAAGGCCGCGCAAAAGCCTGTGACCGGCTGTACCGGTGAACAGCCCTTCCTGGTTTGGTCTTTGGAAGATCCTCTTCTGGCCATGCCATCCATGTAACCATGGGATGATTCCTACAAAGTGTAGTGTTCTCAATTCACATGGTGACCCTTCTCCGACCAGCTGCTCCACTTCTTCTGGACCGTGGTCCACTTGAAGGGAAAGACTTCGCTCGCCAGGCTGCTCCCCATGTTGAACTTCATCGCCTCGGCCGTGTGGACGCGGCTCTTTGGACACACCGCAGAGCTGCTGAAAGGCAGCGAAGGGTTGAGTGTGGCTGTGGCAGACCTTTTAAGGGTTGTGTGGTTGTTGATTTAAGACATGTTTGCTAAGCAAGCCAAACATTTAGCAGGCGTAGATTTTTTGTTTTCGCATCATCTTCCAGCCAACATGTTCTTTCGGGGGCTGGGCATTGGTATTAGATACAGAGAGCTTCTCTTGCGGGGAGAAAGTGTACAATGCCATCTAGCAGCCTGCCAGTGTGAACTATTTCCCGCCAGAGGAGTTGAATTGGACCTCGACCAATCAAATGTCTGGAGTGAAGAGGGTTCATGTGACCATGAAGTGTGACAAATGGAGTTGTTAAGAGGATTTCTGTGGCACCATTCAAAAGCTTGTCGATCAACGGCACTTCACCAACGAAGCAAGTGCCTCACAGTCAATGCAAACGGTTTCACCGTCACTGACGACTACGACGTTCTTACTTGATCGAGTGCCACCCAACTGTCTGGATCCAAGATCAACTCACCCACGGGTCAAGAGTTTGGAGATCATAAAAACTATTTACTATATATATAAAGTATTCAATTAGACAGATACAGTTTCCATATTTTGAAAGGGATTTTACTTTTCTATCTATTTGGGGGTCTACATATTTATATATATATATATACACTGAAAATGTTGTAGATTCCCCACACTGGAAGCGTCGCCCTTCCCTCACCTATCACTTCCACCCACCAAGCGCTCTCGGGCGCGTCTTTCTCACACCGCAGCCTCCGAGGGTCGTCCACGACCAAGGGCGAACGGCCGTCCACGGCCTACCATCCAAGCCCCCTGACTTGAGCCCCTTCTCACGGGAACGAACGCATGACACTCGGATGAGTGTCACCTCTCATGTGACAGCGTACCCTTCAAAGTCCAGGTTGCAAGGTTTGGCCACTGAAATCACACTCCTAAAAAAACTCTGTTGTCTTTTCAAACGGACTAAAAGTTGGAACTAACGCAGTACCATTGTACTCTAGCATGCATAGGGCGCACACGGATGAGGTGATTGACGAGTCTTTGCATCATGTCGAAGACACACCTGTCTGGCAATCTCGGAGATTACATCCCTGACAGAAGGTGCACGCTTGGTCACCTGGAGAGGTCGTGGTGCTTTGCACCCAGGTCTGACGCAGTTGATGATCTCATCCACATCCCTGAGGAGACACTTGCCATTCCTGAGGAAAGTTCCAAGGATACTGGTGTCCATTTCTTTGGTCAAAGCGTCTGCCATTTGGGCAGCACTGCGCACCCATTTAATTACTATCCCTTCCCTTAGGCGATCCTTGATCACCAGTGCTTCAAGGAGTGTCCTATACTCACTACACTGGGGAACAGTTTCCAATGTAATCGGATCCAACTCACCTGGTCCAGGGCACCTGAGAGACTAGAGCATATGTCTCTGACGCCAGGGTGCTAGCTACCACACGGGCGATCTTTTTGGAGCACCATACTTTTGGACTTACCTTTGAACCGTGGTTATCATCGACCCCGGGGGTTGTGGCGAGGATGAAAGTTCCTCTCTGGGAGTGGAACTTGCTCTGTTGGCGTGGATTGGATTCTAATTTCTACATCGGCATGTTTCTTTGCATCTTCTAATAGCCTATTCGCTATCAAGAGATCTCCAACAGTCGCATGTGGTATCTTTGCCTGCAACAAGCTGAGTCGACGCGACAGGTCTGGCCTTGTGTTCCATGCAGCATACTGAAGGCTACCTATCAATCAAGCCTCTTAGTGCTTGGATTTCTTTATCGTTGGCTGCATTCTGTGGTTCTTTGCGACGTGCTCGGGGAATCTCAATTCCACTGATATCTTTGACATATTCGGTTTGGTTGAGGCGGATGTCACCGTTGCTATCTTGGTTGACCTGAATGCGAACACAAAAGACCGTTGACGTTTGCTTCCAAAAGGAAATTGGGCCTCGAGCTGATCAATGGCTTTAGCAAAAAACAGCATCACCCCCACCCAGGCCATCATCTACATGGACACCTAAAATGCCGTGTATACCGCAAGCATCCTTAGGATCTTGATTGTGGACTTTCCGTTTGGGAAGTACAAACAGGCACGGGTCCGATGGAGATATTATAAAGCCAAGGCCGAGGAGGGCGGTCTTCAGCTCTTGGTACAACAAGAGAGGCGCATTCACCAATCCGTATGCACTTTTGAGCAGCTCTAAGGTCTCATCATCCTTAGGATTCAGACGTTGCCTTAGTTCTGGAGGAGGCTCGACACCTAAGACCCTTGAGTCTTGATGGCTACCCCTCAAAAAGGCGGTGGAAATATCGAAAGATCTGACCTCCCACCTGTGACTTGAGATGAGCATGTCCTTTCCCAACTTGGGGGAGTCACGGGGTAGACTGTCGATTGCGGGATCCTCGAATCCCAGAATGACGAGTCTGGCTTCAGCCTTACGGCTCAGTCCTGTTGAGGCGGCCTCTATGTCATCGAGCGGTTTCCATGTCAGAACCCATCTTGACCTGAGGAGTTGTCCCTCAGGTATCTTGTGGCGCAAAATGCGACGAACCGTATCTGTCGCAAGCCATTGAGAGAGTTCTTTATCTTTGGCCTTCTTGAACTGAATGACCTCTTCTGGCGTTAAGTCTTTGATCTTTACTTCTACTCTCTGACGTTTCGCTGCTGAAGCCAGGAACAGAGTTCCTGTTCACGTTGGGATTTCCTGAGGCATTGCTTCACTTCGGCTTCAGTCAAGAGAATTTCACAAACTACCCCATTGGGATGCTCTTCTTCGGATATGTGATGAGTTTCGTGACTTCCTACGGGTCCATATCTCGGCAAGAGTTCGATGACTTTCCGGATTGTTTTTCCATGTTTCATGGATCTTGAACCAATCACCAGTTCTATACCTTCCAGTTGTCCATCGGTCGGGAAGAATGGCGGTATGGGGTACAGGACACGGTGGATCAGTACGAGGATTGAACAGTCGAATTCTTGGGATGTTGTGAACACGAATCCAAAAGTTCCCATGAGTCTTCCACGTATCGAATCAATTGACTCAAGTACATCAACACCACCTCTAGAAAAATGAGTTGCCACTTCTTCTTGAGCACCATAATGTTTACAAAAGTATGACATCTTCTCCTGGTAAACCCAATTCCGAATCTGCGGCTCGGTTTGCGCATGAGTGAAGTACAATGGGTCTAGAACCTGGTCCGGATTGAGGGACACTTGTTCACATCCAATACAGTCTGCGATCAACGAATGCATTTCCCGGGAATCAGCTACCAATGGACCACTGGTGCCTGCGGTTGGATCTAGAGCTCTTGCTCCTCGTGGTTCACTTGCTGTGCAGAGTCCAGAATGGGATTCGGCTGCGAGAGAACCCGCAAGATCTGGTTCATGGTCTCTTCCAGGCGGGTCAGACGTTGACTCTGGATCTCGAGTTCCTGACGGGTGCTCTGGACTCTTCGATCATGTCCCACATCTCCAGGGGTTCCTGGGCAATCCAGCTGTCGACTTCTTCGGCCGTCGCCGGCCGAGATGTCGGCATGGCCTTGGCCTTGGCTCGAGATTTGTGAGCCAAAGTCACGACGGCTTCTTGGGCTTCGATCTGGCGATGCGCAAACGTCACGAAGGCCTTGTGTACCGGCTTGGTCGAATCCGGGTAATGTCCGAGGAACCATGTGACATAGCGACTGTCCTCAAGGACTTTGACACAGGTCTGACCCTTCTTGGCTTCGCCAAATGCGATCTTGGCCTGAGCCAACTCTTCCAGCGGCATGGTCTCCGGATCGGAGGGAATTCCTGCCTCGAATGCAGAGCCTTGAAACGATCGGCCAAGGTCGGAGTCTTCGACATATGCCATGGCAAACACCGGAGTCGGTCGGGTCTTGAGATCGCACTTCACTGTCAGGGCTTGGGCGCGAGAGTCTCAGAAGAGGCTCATCTGCATCACGACCCTCATGCTGAGAGTGTCCGGAACGAGGAAACGATGTACGAGACGAACCGAGACCGATCTGACTGTCACTGCTTTGCAAAATGGTTTCTTCTTTCGTTTCTATCTTTTTGACTGGCGTTTGATGGGCTCGTGACATCAACTGTGCAAAATCGAGAAGATATAGCTTCTTTTCGGACAACGTGAGTGGCAGTCCGAATCCAAGCTTTCCAAAGTACACTGAATCGGTTGCGGTGTGGATCGACGCATCGAGCTTACGAAAAACATTATTCGAAAGCAAAAATGGTGTACGTGATGGAACAACACAGATCTTCACTTTATACGGCCCTAGTGGAACAAGCAAAGCTCGGTTGCATTGCCAAAACGGAAAACTGTTCTGCATGGAACTTCCTGGACCTGAACATGTCCTGGCAGTTGAGAGGTGAGTTCGGACACCTGATGTTCTCCTATGACTGTCTGACTGGCACCTAGGTCGACGATGCCTAGAGTTCCATGACTTACGAAACATGTCGTCGCCTCACCCGTGGTGGGTGAAGACTTTGGCTCAATCAGAGGGCTTGTTGGATGGCTCAGTTTGGCTCGAAGCAATGGCATCAGCCTTTGCGAGCGTTGCTGCATTCGGCGGGCCATGTCCGTTGACTTCACTGCCCTGTGGGGAAATGGCTTGTCTGCTAGAGTCAATTTTTCCAAGGCGCCTGATTGATGAGGATCATGTCTTCATCCTCAGCGAAGTCGGACTCCTGCAAGGCCATTCCAGTGAAAGCACCATCTTTGGCAGCATTGAGTCCTGAGGATGCACTTTGGTTGCGGAGCGGACACTCGGCCCCACACCTCCGACAATTGGATTCTATAAGATCCTTTGTGCCAGCGGTTTCCGTCGTCGGAACGCGAAGCGGTCGCCCTTCCCCTTGCGACCTTTGCCCATGCCCTTGCGAGGAGGGTTCCAAAAACCACGGCCTTTGGCCTTTTCGGAAAGCCTTTTTCGAGCTTCCATGTACGTGTTCATGCGTGCGGCCATGTCGGGATCGGATTGCAATGTGTCCACCAAACTCTCCTCAAATTGGAGGCACACAACAGCATCAGCATCACCTTCTTCGGCCAATGGTTCCAGATGTCCTTCATCCAGATACCCTTTGTACCCTTCAAAGTCCAGGTTGCAAGGTTTGGCCAGTGAAATCACACGATGTATACAGACATTGTATTGGTGTTTGTTTGTTTTGTAACATCCTGTACTGAAACATGGAAAGCCACAACAATGGTCAACCCAGTATGTGTGGCTGCTGGGTGTCGAGGAGCCAAGGAAGCTGCCGCCAAGATTGAGTAGGTGTGGCTGTGGCTACCCTTCACCACGAGTTCACCGATGAACTTGTATTCATCCTCCAGCAGACCAGTCCGATACAAAAGGGCACATGTCCAAATCGATGCAAGAGACCCTGACCCTGTTCGCAATTTCGGTTGGTCTCCACTTGTTTACTTGAGGAGGTTCACAATCTTCACAGGTGCGTGAAGCCCGGCATGCTCCCTGACAGGCCAAGATCACGAGAATGAGTGCTCCAGCTGTACAGTGGGAGACCGGTTGGGGACAGACATATGTAGAGTCTCAGAGTACCCTGCAATCCTACAATTCTCAACATTGGTCCCATGAGCCGCTTTCCCGTCTCCTTGAAAGGACAATGAGCACCATCTCATGTTCAACATTTTGCGTCTTGAGGTACATGCTCACTTGCTCAACATCCTTTCACACCTCTGCAGACCAACAATGGATGCCCCAAAACAGTTTGTGGGTTTTTCCCAACAAACCAAGTGCCTTTGACCAACTTCATTAATATGATTACAATGATTACATATCTATAGACATCAACCTCGTTACACAAAACTAACGACACTGGTCTTTTTAAATTCATTCTCAGAATTAATGTGCCAGGCTTCTCACTTTCTGAGAGGAACTTTGCAGACCCACGACAATTTCAGAATAACTTTAAGGCGAACCTTTTGGTGGATAATATGTTTGTGTTTTTGTCATAGCCCGCCCAGTACCCAGTGTAAGTCAAGGGGTGGTTTGAGGCAGGTTGGAGCCGTACGTTGCGCGCGTAAAGGAAATCGCCTTCCAGCTGTGTTGTAGTCAGGGTTCATCCTTGACTGTAGACAGAGACAGACGGCAACCAATGGTTGATCCCCTCCAGCCTATTGTAAAACGCTACAAACCAACCCATCCACCGAATCCCACACATCTTCATCCCACTCACACACCTTCTTTGGACGACATTGACCCTCCGCCAGACCGTTTTGGCGCGTTGCTTTACGCGCGTTGCTATACGCGCGTTGCTATACGCGCGTTGCTATACGCGCGTTGCTATACGCGCGCTTGTGGCGCGTCGGAGAGGTATATGCTCAATGACAAAGCCCTTCTGGTGAATCGTTTCATTTCAGTCCCTCGAGACCTGGGCGATGTGAACTGCGGTGCGTGGGGAAACCCAGCTCTCTGTTGGCGTCTGCCTGTCGGCGGGGTGAGGGCGAAGTTTGGCGTATGAGATCTCGCAGTTTGGATTTCAATTGGTGAGGGCGAAAGTATGTGGAAAGAAACAGAAGCTCAGGTGTGAATCAAGATGAATCCCCGACGCCAGCAGTTAGCAAGTCTGGAAACACTCACTTTCTGGACCTTCTTGTCTATAGGTATATAATTGTAGGTAGGTATGTAAAGGTGTCCCAGGGTTAGGCAGCAGACCTAGAAGGACCCAGGTGGTGTTTTCAAAAAGTGTTGTGGGGATCCTTCATCAGCATGGCCTGCGCCACGAGGACAACAGACAACTGATCCTTTTGAAATCCTTGAGACGCGTGGAACCTCTCAGGTCAACGGTTTACGTAAGTGCTCGGATGATATATATATATATACTGTATATAAATATATAGAGTCTAGTATATACTGTAGATGCATATAAATCGAAAGACTGCTTCTCATCCTCCATCTCCGGCAGTAGGCCCGTACTTCATTTTACATTCTTGCGCAGGTATTCTTTGAAAGTCATTGCCCAAACAGTATGAGTCGGAATCAGATCCAGACGCAGTTTGGGGCAGTGTGAGCTAACCTTGTTACTGTTGCCATTGCGGTGAGTAGATGGCACGATTCGATCAACTTGGATCCATCCAAATTCACCAGGGCTTTGGCCCATCGAACAACATGGCAGTACGACCTGAAAGCCCATGAACCATACAGCCTTCTGGAACTCCGCTGCCCGACTTATAGCCGGCTTCAGGGGCCGGCTGAGGTGTTCTCGCGCGGGGTGGGGTGATGAGCTGGAGTGTTTTCCAGGGCCGGCAGGTCTGCATTTGGAATTCCACCCAAGTCTTCATACAAGCACAGTTCTTTGTTGTTTCAATACTTCAAGCACGCGCGCTGTTCCAAGGTTCGTGGCTGGCATGGTGGAAGGTGCACCGTAGACGACCGTCCAAATGAGCGAAGAAGGTTGCCGTGGATGTGGTGGTAGTGGTGCTGCTTCTTTGGGCTGGCCATTTTGTTTAATGATGTATAGATGGCCTTGGTTCGAGCTGGCCGTTGGTTTGATGGAGGGGATACCCCCACCCCCGGGTCGTGTACCAGCTACTAGACAAGTGGACCTGGCACCGACCCCTCTATTCTTGCCAAGTACGGACATTCACTGTTACGATGACTCAACATCGCCAGCCTCGCCGACATGTGCAGACCTGAAGGTATCACCGGAGGTCACTGTGACGCGTCAGCCTGTGCGTCTGTAGGATTGCCTCTCATGAGCACTGGAGTTGGAAGGCCCAAGAGCGAACGCCCAAGAGCGAACTTGCCGAGTCCACTCCCGCACCTTTCTGCTTTTGGTGCAGCCTCAGCCCTCCAAGAGATCCAATTGCTTCAGTGGAGATGGCTTCATCTCCTTCCCGACGCACTCGCTTTCGTCCTCCCCGACGCACCGTCCTCCAGAGGGGTCGCCGTGGTCCGCAGCGCCGGACCGCCGTCCGCCACGGCGCCCAGGGATGCTGTGCAGCGCCGAGTTCCCCGCCACGGCGACGGCGCACACCGTGGACGAGCCGACTGGAGCGATTGTCCCGGCGAAATGGGTACGGTGAGCTGTGGAGGGGCTGGGGGGGTTCCAAGGGCGAGGCTGGGTTGAGGCTGAGTCCGGAGTAATCTTAACATATAGATTTGAGGCTCATTTTGAGGGATGGTTCATCATTTCTCCAAGACACAGCAACTGTTCTTTGAAGAATTATTCCGGTCCTATACGCGATCTGCAGAGTTTCAATCTGGGGGCTTTGAATCTCAAATTCCACCATCTGGGTCTGATGTTTGGAACAGCACTTTCAATGTTTGATACAGGTGAACGCCAAATGAAGGGGTTGCAATTGAGTGTTATCATCCTTGTATACAACAGTCTTGGACGACTACGAAGTCTTTTGTAGACACGTGTTTCATCGTTTTTCTATCCACCAAATCTAGTTTGATTTTCTGGGAAACTCTTGGGTCTGTGTCCCGTTTGCAGGAACCAGCACGACCATCCTCATTCGCTTTGAGGAGAAGGTGACGGAAAACCGGGGATGTCTCGTTACTTCAGTCATGAGTGGACCAGCAATCTTTCCAGGACCCCCTGGCCGCTGGGGAGCGGTTTTCATAACTCGTTGAAGCGGTCGACCCTGATCTGGGCCACATGGGAGCGACCTCGCGGTGTCACCTCCGTGTCACCTCCGTTGAACACCCCGTTTTTCGCCTCACACAGACCACCGGTGTACCGGGTCTTGTGAGCACCCAGCGATCGGTGCCAATCTGCACCTGCAGATGGGAGAGAGTCACCTAAGTAGTGTTCGCATGTACAAACCTTTAAACCAAGGGCCCAGATGGAAGGGCTACCAGCATTACAAGCGACAGTTTTTGCGACTTATGGCACCAGATTGAACACTGTATATAGTTCACAGCCAAATACCAAACAAATCCTTCCAATCATCCCTCAGCAACTGGCTTTCATATGGCCCTCGCATTTCGGGCTAGACCTAGAACCACAGGGTGAACAACCTGCTCAAACTCGTAAAAAGCTCTTCAACACCCCATTTGTAAGGGATATTGGATTGCAACCCAGATGATAAACGATATTGACTGTTAATGCTCTGGGCTGGACGAGAATTTGGGGCACCCCAGGAATTTGGGGCACCAGAAACAATCCCAGCTGGAAGTGAAACCCTCCCAGATCTTCGGTGAAACCGTTTCCCCAAGTTGGAGCTTTCAATATGCAGTACTTCAGCGGATGGTTTGTCCAACTACTTCGAGACCTTCAGAAAGGCTTTCCATCCAATCCTCTTCGGCTTTTTCTCTCTGAACCGCGGTCCAGTCCAGCTCTCTTCAGTCACCAAAGCTGAGCCATCTGTCTTGATCCATTTGATCCACTTGAGAAGGGTCTTAGAGAATAGTCTCGGATCCATCCGTCCGGGTGTTCTCCGTCCGTCCCGTCCGAACCTTACACCGTGGGTGTCCGGTTCGCGAGGTCATGGCCCGGGAGCGCCGCTCGGAGCGAGGCTGAAAAGACCGGTGTCTTCTCCGGGCACGAGTCACGAGTCGGTGGAGTCGGTGAAACGCACGGAGTTTATGTTTTGGAGAGAGACGTGGTGGCCTTTTTTCTATGTTTTTTTCGGGGTGAACATGGGGAGTTCTGTGTTGTCAGAGATGTTTTTTGCACTGAAATTCGATGGGAACGCCCGCCATTGAGCCCGCCCATTTAGGAGGTGAGTTTGCGTCTCTGATTTTGTGGGGTCGATCGGGATCGGTACTGTAACGCCTCTGAACACCCCCATAAAACACAAATGGCCCTTCAAAAACGAAGAGGCTCAGGAAGTTAGGTTGGAACCCAGAACTAGGTAGCCCCTATCTACCAGTCATGACAGTCATGAACTTGAGATTGTCCCATGGTGACTAGGATTATACCTCAACCTCTTTAGCATCTAGGTTTTGATTGGATACCTCGAGGACGGATCGGTGAAGAAGATGTAGTCCTCCACCAGGTTTCAAACAATGACATGAGATGAAATGCTTACTGACTCACTGACTCACTTTTTATTTTTAAACGTCTCATTGGGAAGACAGATCGCCGTTGGAGTCTGGTTCAGAAGGACACCATCAAATGAATGTGACGACCAAAACCGCTCCAACGGGGGATCGGATTTAATGGCCGCGGCGGAAGCGCGCCATCTCCAACGGCGGAAGCGCCCTGGAAGCCGCAGCACAGAGACGCCAAGCTGGAGCCAACCAGCAAGAAACTCATCTTGGGCAAACATGTAATTAGATTGCTGCAGCAACACCAGAAGGCTTTTGGAATTGAACGAGAACACAGTCTTCTGCAGAGGCCAAGTTGTAGATGCATCTTTCCGAACGCATCAACTCAATCATCAAACAAGATCATATAGCTCAGATAGCTCATATGATCTCATTAAGCAACACTTCTGTTGTGCACTGGGTCTTTACAGCCCAGTCCCTGACTGTTCCATCCAGAGCCCATGGGGTGTGGGCACCCAGAGTTTGGGCGTGACCATCGATGGCTTAGTGGATCATTGGGCACAAGACCTACACATTGAAACGCAAATCTTGGAAGTTTTCGATCTATTTGATTCGATGAGCAGAAGGATTCAAGGTGGGACATTCCTGATGGCAAACGTCTTCAAACCCCCGTTCTAGTCTTTCTTTGCATTATACATTTGTGGAACTAAATAGCCGTCTCAGTGCCTTCTGGCAACAGCTAGCAGCTTTTGAGAAGCGGAATGCAACACTTTGAAGCAGTGTGGAAGTGCGGTTAAGGACTTTCATACAATTCCATGTGTGAAGGTTGGAATGACAAGTCCTTAATTAACTCTTCATAAAGACGAACTCATGGACTCATGGACTATCTCTTGAATGGAAATTTATTGTCCTTACACTATACGGACCATCCCTTCAAAAGCAAGAACACTCGTCAACAGTTATTCATTTTTGGGATTTCCGTTTGTGCCGTGCACATGCTCAGTTGGAATCTTCTGTGTTTTCCGTAGCTTGGCGGACCAGGCTGTTGGGTGGCTACGACTCAGAGGACGAAATCTGTGGTGCCTTGTGCAGATTTGCTTGATCCTGGTGCAGAAAATCTTTCTGTTTAAGTCCGAAACAGCAGGGAATTGGGGGGCATTGGAACAGAGAGATCCCCTGCACCCATGGGTTTTTGGCTTTTGCACTGGATCAAGCCCGTTTTTGAAACGTGAGGAGGTCAGAATGCACCAATGGGTTGGAGTCTGTTTTTGTCCTGAGCCTCTAGGGGCTAGAGGCTCACCCAAATCGATTTTTCCCATCCATTTTGAGACGGCTGCACCAGATGGTGGACTCCTGAGCGCATCATGTGAGGAGGAGGAGGAGGACACAACAGCAGCGCCATCGACAAGCCTGGGCCGCCCATGCTGGGGTGAGTGAGATGCTTCAGTACCTTTTAGCTGTGGGGGCAATTTCCAGGTCCAAGAACAACAGGTGAACATCTCCTGACTAGTCGACCACTTCCGTTTTTTTGGGGTGACTAGTCTTGGTATGTTTTTGTATGTCTTGGTCATAGGACCGTTGTTCTTGTTTGCCAAGGACATGTCTTTTGACATATTTTGATCATCCAAAATTGACAAGAGGACAACTTGCAGTTTTGCTTTCTATCTGGAATGGGTCCGACGGAGCTTGGAAACATGCACTGAAGATCTATTTACAAGCGAGTTGTTATTTTTTGCAACGGGTCCAGGGCTTTGATCTACAGCCACAAGCAGATAGTTGAACTTGGTCACACGTGCTCGCATGACCGGCATGTCCTTGCTGGCGACATCATCGATCATCAGACCATTTTGCTGCAGGAATGAGATACACCCATTCGATACATTATATATACAATACACATACCGTACCCGCGTGTATATATATATACACATACACAGGTTTTTTTGGATATATATATATATTAAATAGGTACATACCCATCTATGTATCTATATACACATATTTCAGTTGCAGAGCTGAACAAAAAAAACACATATTCTTTTGTACCACTCTGGATGCTTTTCTGCTTTTGGTTTTCCGCTTGCATCCAAACTCTTCGCAGTCCGAGCGTGCAGGTGTGTCGGCCAAGGCTTCGGCCCAAGACGCGGAGGAGCGGGGTGTGGCGACGCCCGGTGGTCGCGTGTGTTGTTTAAAGGCCCAGAAGAGTTGTGGGGAGCAGGATGATCAGCTTTGTCTCTACAGTACGGGAAAAGAAGAAGTTCTTCCTGTGGGACCCTTACTTTGAGACAATCATTGATGGTCACAAAGCTATCGTTGGCGAGTCTCCAGTCTGTGTACTGACCTTAGCAAGAACCGCCACCTCACAAGATGATCATGAATTCAACCAATTCCATGCATGTCGGTCACGTTTGGCGAACGGTGAGCGTGGATAATATCTTAAAGAGATTTGTTTGGGAGAGCAGACACAACAGATTTTGCTGACAAACAGATATTATCCTCAGGACACCTCCCATGAACTCCCCAAACCAGATGCTGAATGCCTGGGTTTGTTGCTCAAGGAGTCCTCGAGCGAGGAGGCGTGGACGTTGAAGCATCAAGGATGTGTTTTTTTGCATCTATGTCAGTCTGGTCTGGATCAGAACTGCTTTCAATACGCACATGGACACGTAGTAGCATTAAATGAGACATATATGAATATATCTGTCTTGATTAATTATACATATATATATATAAGCATCATATTTTAGGATTCCTTTCTCTACTCTGATGGCTAGTAGGACGTGTCCACCATGTGCCGTCCACCGGGGTTTTAGTGGGGGGAGAGAACATGTGTTCTCTTTTCGTCAAGCAGTTCAGGTTTTGAGGTTCCGAAAGGGTCGGTGGACTTCTTTGAAGTTCAGTCCAGAGACTCGATGGGTTTGGATGGCTTGGCTGCCTGTAGGAGCTGGCTGGATGAGCAACTTCCAGCCACTTCCAAGCGGGGGGTGTCAGGGATCGGTCAAAGGAGTCCACTCCGCATTTTCAGGAAGATGAGCAGGGGGACTGAGAAGAGCGGTCTGTGGGGAAGATGTGGCGGATGCAGGTCGTAGCATCACTGCAGGTCTGCACCAATCCCCAAATGTTTCATCACGATCCACCAGAAAACCACTCAAACCATCTCAATCCTACCAGAACCACTCATGTCGCGCTCGGAAAAATCTGGACCGATGGGGGCTGTCAAACACTGGCGATCCATGTAGATCAGACCTGTGGGGGCTGTCCATCAGATATTGGACCACCTGGCGAAAGCCTATCAGTAGTAACAGGTGCCACGCTAGTAGTAACAGGTGCCTTACTAGTAGTAACAAGAAGCTATTAATTTAAACTTAAATTCATTTGGATTCGAAGACCCTTAAACCCATCAGACAAATTCCACAAGGGTCCTTCTGCACTGAAGTCACTGAAGCGGGCTCTCGACGTTTCGGCGGGCCGCCCCTTTCCGGGACAAAACGAAGCATCTTTGATCGAGCGGACCATTCTCATACCAACCTCCTATCAACCTACCCAACCTGCCAGCTGGAACATGCTTCTTGTTACTACTAGTAAGGCACCTGTTACTACTAGCGATGCACTTGTTTCTAGTAGCGAACATTGTTACTATCTGTGTATACCCAGCGGCTGGAACTTCCGGGTGGACCAACGAGGCCCGAAAGCAAGCGTGCTCGGCTCGCCGGGACGGAGAGCTCAGTTCGGACGGGGGATCTGTTCGTCGGTTCGACGTCGAACGCGACAACGTGCTTGCGAAGGCCGTGCGCAGATAAACTCAAGTCGAGACGGAGCGCAGATAAGTTGAGCATGATGGCTCTTCTTTATCTTTACATGTTGAACTGTTCATATTCTACTTGAGGTGGAATTTGGGAGAGACGGACGAGAAGGTTGATCATGGTTGATATAGATTGGCTTAAACACGTTAACTTTTCGCATGTAGCTGGTGATACAGTGATACTCCATTAATCACGCAATTATCGCTTTAACTTTTAAATTGTCAATCAGTCAACTTAATGGCAATTGGAAACCTTTAAAGTGTTGGAAGACATATTATCCAAGTCGCCACGGCCACTGAAGGCCAGACAGCCAGAGGAACTGCTTCTAGATTCTGGATGTTTCACTTGGTTTCCACTCAAATCGTCAGGCTGATCGAATCATGGAAGCGTCACTGGTGCACAAGATGCCTAGCCGGCGACGAAGCATCCGTCGGACGACCGAAAGCAACTCCAGCGGTCTGCTGAGGCCCAACCCATTGGGTCTGCTCACGCCAAAGTTTGCGAAGGACGCAGGCGGTCAGATGGGGAGCACTTTGGCGGAAGATGGGGACTGGGCGCGACACAACAGTAGCTTTGGAAAAGATTTCCTGGTCAAGGTGAATGTCCAGTGTTGGAGTTTGGACAGGATTTCCATGTACGACATTGTACGACTCTATATTATAAGATATAGGTGATATGTACATACACGTGTGTCTATAGATGCCTAGATATCTATGTTGGCAACGTGAGAGTACAATAGGAATGATATAATATATATATATATTTAGATAATTCTAGCTGCATGACTGGGGGGTAGAGCACTGGGGAGTCACCAGATTCTCAGCTGATATCGTTTTGGGCAACATGTGATATATGCTACCAAGCAGACATCCAGAATGCGAGCTTCTGGAAGCCCTGAGCTCCTTACCCGGGACTGCTCCAACGAAGATGCAAATGTTGCCCATCAACAAAGTTCGTTCGTGTCTATTTCGACTGATCTGCCTCTGGATAGAAAAGCTGTCGAACAAATGTTTCAACAACGTTTTACGTGTTTCACTTCTGCATGCGTGGACACCCACTGTTACTTGACACCTGAAACCGATGTTTTTGCGGATGTTGATATAACTGTGTGGCTCGGTGGACGGGCCAGGCCCCAAAGCGACCACACCCGCCGCAATGGCCTTCGTCCCACCCCAGGCCCGGGGGGTTCATAAGGAGACGTGCCGGGGTTGTGGGTCGCGTAGGGAGATGCCGTGGCACCCCAAAAAGGACCAAGAGTAAAACCACACAATCATTAGCATGAAATGGTAGCTTCGTAGCAGGTGGATCGATCAGCTGCTTTTTTGTGAGGGGAATTGGAGAGGTGAGGGGGGGGAGTGTCAACAGAGTTCGTGTGATGTTGTAACTCTTTTCGATCTTTTGAATTCTGACGCTTGACATTCGACTTGTGTTGACATTGTTTGGAGATGTTTGGAGTGTGTTCAATCCGATCTCAACGCCGGTCCGACGCCAACCCCGAAGCACGGTTCCGTTGCGGGATGGTGCTGAGGTTCTTTCATTCAACCTTCAACCCTCCAACTGGCACCCATCTCCGTGATGTGACTGAAAAGGTCGTGCAGCACTGTTCGGGGCCCATTACGACTGTGTCAGGCTAGCACTGCAAAAAGTGGGTGATTGGTTTCAGAGTAGATGACGCTGGCCCCCACGATGTCTTTCAGATGTGGGTCAAACCACCGAACTTGGGGTAACTTGTGCCATCTACTCTCAACCCACTATGTTGGGGGTGACACGGAACGTGGACGGAGTCTTGTAGACGAACAGAGATTTTTGCAGGCCCGGATGAAATCCATCGAATGGGGTCATTTTTCAGATGATTCTGATCCATCAATTGTGGATCCTTGTGTTTACTTCAAGTCAAAGATCGGGGCACTGAGCCTGACCGATGAAAAGGGATTGACATATTGATCGTACGGCATTTGCAACACTGGAGTTCGTCTTCCAGCCAGGTGCTTTCATCAACCCCGTTTCACCAAGCCCATGGCCATTCCAGGTGAGGAAGAAAGGCCGAGTGGTCAGTACAGTCACTGACAACATCAGCCCCACGTCTGCACAGGTCCAAGGTCGAAGAAGTGAGTTTCAACTGGCTTGAGTTGGTAGACCCCCAGTAGTTTTGATGGGTTTTGTGATCTGCCTTCAGGGTCTCTTGGGAGAAAGCTCAGAGCCAAACGTTTTGCTCGGGTATTTGTTGAGTATTTCAGGAAGTTTAAACACCTGCGGTGTACTTGACGGCTGGCTGCAAAAAGCCTGAGACACACCAAGCAGGAAAAATGCACTGGACTTGATGTCCAAAATCGAGGGAGGAGCAGGTCTAAACATCGATCGGGTGACGCGTCGACGCCGTTGGTCGTTCCAAACTCTTTCGGCGGATCGACCGACGCTCGAGGCCCTGTGACCGCCCAGGTGACCGTTCCTTTGCCAACTCAAAGCCTTCAAAGCCGAGCGGCTGACCAGGCTGACCGTCCGGTCGAGGGTTCGACCGAGCTCGGCGGATTTGGCGGATTTGGCTCGGTGTGTCTTTGCTCTTTGCGTGGGTTGGTTTGCTCTTTTCGTGCGCCTTTTGTGAGAGAGGAGGAAAGTTATCAGCCAACATGGATGAGTAACACATGGGAGTGTCGGTGTGCCGATAGATCTTCATGACTACAGATGAACGTCCTCCCCGGTTCTCTTAGAGGGCCGGACGTGATGAACGTTAGTCGTTGCGGATCATCTTTGGTCTACGCTTGTAATTGTTCTTGACATCAACGGCTCTCCAAACAACCCCCCCGAACACGCCGTGATTGGAACTGAGGCTTGGGCCAGTTCGGAGGCAGGCAGTGCTCGCGTGGCCAAAAAGGAGCAGTGCTCAGGAATAGATGGAACTGGCACCTGTGAACGGCCGTCGTGATGAACGGGCAACTCATGAAGCCCCAGATGGGAAGTGACTTGAAGAACTCTGCCATTCAGTCGGCCTGGGGTCGATCCGAGTTCACCGTTGGTAATTACATAAGACTTCATCCCAAGTCTGGGCAGTGGCTCCCTACAACATTGCCCACTGTTGCTTCGTCATGAACATCAGGTTCGTTTCTACAAACAGACCGGCGCGTGGGTTGATGCAAGATGATGCGAGATTTGGTTTCTCAGCTATTGATAAAGCGATGAATTCAGGGATGCCGCAGCTGCTTGGCAATAGCAAAGCAGCAGCATCTGCCTATCATGATATGATTCCTGACATTGAGCATACCAGGTATACCAGAAAGGTTTCCGAGAAGAAGACATTGAGGAGGAAGAACGAGAGAGTTTTGAGGAGTCTCCAACAACGACAATGGTGAGGAACCCCATGGAGTACCTGGTCCAAATCAGAAACCAGCGAATTGGTCTATCGGAGGGCCTGCTAGCTGCTAAACTCTTGACCAAACTGAATCAGACCCACCTTTCCCAACCGTATTACCTTTCCAACCAGAATCACAGCTGCACAGCTCAGATCCACGACATCGCTTACCCCCAAAAATACGGCGGTCGACCGCCCTAAACCGGGCGGCCTACATGGGCAGCCATGGAGGACCTGGATCCAGGACTCCAGGGCTATTCAGAGCCCCAGCGGGAGAACCGTTTCGACCCAAAACGACCCGTCGCTCGCAGAGAAATCCAAAAAAACAACGCCAATGTTTGGATAACTGAGAGGACCCCGAGACCTGGTTTTTTGAACGTTTTCTCGTTTGTTGGGGTCTTGGGGGTGTTCCAATCGACATGTCGATCTGTTTGACTATTTCTTATGACAGGGTTGCGACGCCGGGCCCCTTTCTCACATGATCATGCGTTCTTTTTTTCATAGATCAAAAGGAACAGCAGCCATCCACTAACATCCACTAACCAGAGTCCGCAACATCGAGGGAGGTGGCAGGCCTTTGCTTGGTCAGACCGAGACCCATGTTGCTCTCTACGGCGGCTTCAAAACACTGAGGACAGTGGTTCCGACTTTCACGACTTGCCGGAGCCAGAGCTCCCAAAGGTCAGCACGGCAACACAGATCGGTGCGTAAGTGGGAAGAGAAGTGGTTTTGGCATGTGTCAGAATCGGGCCTTCCCCTGCCGCAAGGTGTTAAAGCTCGGGAGGGCCTCACTCGGCAATGTACTTCCGGTTGGAGTATGTCCCCGTGAACAAGTATTCAAGTACCCACCCCTTTTTGTTGCCATGACACCATGTCAAATGCAGGAAGTCCGCTTACGATGGAAGTCCGAAGCACAAACAAACTCTCTTGGTCTGCTGAGGATCAACGCTGCAGGCTGTCAGATTAAGGCTTTCACTGTTCATTTAATTACCCCAGATCGCGTGAGCTATTGGGGTTCTTACTTCAAGTATAGGAAGAGCTGCGCGTGTGCGTTTTCGAGCTTGGGTGCTTGTGCCACTGCAGGCCGCTGTCCGCTGTGTGCCCTTGGGAGCTTGGGGCTGGTGCCGCTGCCGGGTGCCGCTGCCGGGTGCTGCGACATGTCTTTGGCCGCGATTTGCCCGGTGCCGGCAGGTCTTTTGGGCCACAGAAATCCTGTTCTTGCTACTCGTATCTGGGATCTATGCCTATGCTGAATGGTAAAGACTCCCCTGCAGGCGCAGCCGGTCGTTCAAACACCCTTGGGTGCAGGGCCTGGGAAAGCGCTGCCTCAAGGCCTCCGTTGGTGCAGGCCTGGAAAGCGCGGTCGTGACAACACTTTGGTCCCTCTTGATCATCTACCGGTGGTGTTGAGTCAAGCGTTTAAGGATGTTCAATGAATACTCGAGAGGCTTGAACTTGGTAAAGATCCTGGGATTTCTTTGTGAGTGTTGAACAGCTTCAACACCCAACCGAGCAACCATGGACCATAGGTTTGGAAGATGTTCCTGCCACGCCACACCAGATGGGCATATGTAGCTGCAGAATTTGAACGTATTATATAATATATACATATCAACATATATATATATACATATGCGTAAATGTTGTTCCTATTCTCACATTGAGTCAGTGCTCCATCAAAGATCAGAACGTATTACATATACAGTTCACAGGTGTGTTCTATCAAAGAACCATGCCACTGGCATGTACAAGTCACTCATGTCAGCATAGAAGCGATGTGTAATCAAGTACGCAGTCAATACAGAGTACCCTAAATGAGAATTGCATAGAATGGCTATATAGATGCCTGGGTCAACAGGCCTTCCGCTCAGAGAAAGCACCGCACCACAACAATCTTTTTCCCGGTTCACTCCGCCTTTGGATCCTAGAACGTGGATGTAGGCCCCCTCTATGGCCTGTAGGATTACGGGGGATTTGAGGTACATTCCCCATCTCATGAAACTCTCTGTATATCCTTAGTGCAGGGTCAATTTTGATTTGAATAGTATGGTGGAGATTGGCAAACTAACCATGCCCATGGGAGGTTTCTGTGCTACCTTAAGAACTACAGTAGATTAGGGTTTCGGGAAGCCAACAAATACAGAAATACTGATACTCATATAGCTCGCAAGAGAAGCCTGCACTGGATCCAGCTGGCTGTGCAGCATGCTGCTTTGACGTGCAGTTCCTCAACTGTGCTGTGATCAAAGCACCTTTGCTTCGTTAAACAGCCTGCATTGTGATCAGCAGTCAGCAGTCAGCAGCATCTCACCCTACTGAACTCTGTTGCATTGCACCGTCCCTTTTTTATCAGTGCTTTCTCAAACATCTCACATATCTGGAAATTGTTGGCTGTAGCAATTCTTTCACTTAAGCATTTGTAGACATGGGACACAATCTCCCTTGACCTCAATGGCAAGGATCGTGCAACAAACACCTTGCTCCCTTTCCTCTTGCCTTCGCTCCTCAGAATATAAGGCGATCTTTTTTGGATTGAGGTGAACTACAATCCCGTAGTTGAAGGGAGCCACGAGGAGCCCTCTATTTGGACGTCTTTTCTCCGGACGCCCTGCCCCACGAGGTACCCTCAAGCGGCCGCAAGACGGACACGGTGTGGTGTTGCGATGCAGGCGCCACACAGCTGGACATGGCGCCGGTGGACGGGGCGTTTCCTCCGACTTGACATGGACGGCGAGTCGCCCCTTTCGAAGCCGGAATCGGATTCTTTTCGATGTCCGATGGATGTCTTCAGATCTCTTCAGATTTGCATGAGGTCCTGTCGTACTTAGTTCTGACAGCAGTTCTGGTTATTGGGCGGCCAACCCACGTATTCTTTTTCTGATATTCTTCAAATTAGAATGTCGCAGGGAACTCAAACTCCCAACGTTTCCTTGGTATTCTTCTGACTCCATGCCTGTGCCTTTGACCCACACCTCCATGAGAGCAGTACCTCTCAGTTTTCCGCATGCAAGCCCCTTCGAGGCCCTGTCCTGCTGAGTGGACGTCATACTTGGACCCCCAAGGCGATGGAGCAGAGCTTCTTCTTTTTGGGGGAACACTCGGAAAGTCGAGGGAACCGAGCGGATGGATGGAAAAAGGGAAGGAACAACATCAAGGAGCATTTTGTGATGTGCCACAATTGCGCTTGATTCTGCAACAACATGAAAACAAGGAACTACGGGCTGTAAGAAGGAGCTTGTGCAGATGTGCAAACCGGGAGGTCTGGCAATCCGAATGGCATTCGGACACAGCTTATGAGTTGACAATCCCACTGTTTGACAAAGCTGGGGCCGGTGCTGGTGCAGTCCAAATTCTTTGAGTATCTCACCTTTTAGACTCACTCATCACGTTGTGAAACAAGGACTCAGTCTTGACCAACACCAGAATTGTGTGGTGTTTTGATAGGACTTGATAGGTGGAAGATGGTGGCAGGATTGCTCAAGAGATCATGCCTAGGGGACCTTCGCCCAATCAGTTCTAGTGAGATGAATGATTTGATTGTTATCCAAACTTCACATTGACCATGACGGTTTTTGTTGGGCCTCCATGTTAGCTTTGGGATTGTGAGGTGTGACCACACAGATGCAACGAAGGCAAGCTCGTGCTATCGTTCCACAAGGGACAAGCTTCCAAGTCTTGTGGTTCCTGTCCTGATTCTTCTCACCCAAGTGCGTGGCCGCTTGCCAAACGCAACGAAGGTAGTCAGCGCCCGCCCCCAGCAAGAGGGATCTTCGCCAGTCCAACCCCTTCTTCGATGGCACCGGCGGATCTTCGCCGTCGGCCCTGTAAGCCGGAGCATGGCCTTGGTCGGTGTGACTTAAGAAAACCCCGCTGGGCCGAAGAACGCCCCGCGGGTCGTGGTGGTCGTCGTGGAGGTGGTCGTTGCTCCGGGTCTCGTCGGACCCGTCGGTGCAGGACTCTTGCGCTTCGACCTGGGGGACGGTGCCTGGCCTCAGTGGCTCCATGCAGCCGTGAGGACCTTGCGGCTCTACGAGTGCGCAGAGTTCCAGGCGCGGAGTTTGGGGCGTGTCCTTTTGGGGCACCGAGGAACGAGTTCGGTGCCGGTGGGTCTCCGTGGGTCTTTGCCTTGAGAAGCCATGGATTTCATCGGATTGTTATCAGTCGAAGCATGTTGAAGCACGAGACAGGTCAGATTTCAGTGCGGAGGATCTCTTTGCGGAACATGCATCATCGTACATCCATTTAGCTCGTCCAGCCCGGTTGAACCGGCTCCTTCAGCTCACAAAAAGCGACGAACAGTTCTGGCGACCATCACCTTCCGACCGGGCCACAAACGGGCCACGTTCACGTGCCACAAACTCGCCAGGGCCCAGAGATGGAACCAGTGCAGCTGACCTTGGTTGAGTGGCAGCTGCGCTGCGACCTCTTTGAGGATGGCACCGCGATCAAGAGCCTTTTGGCCGAGACGACTGGGTTGGGCCGAACTTTCGGAGAGGTTTCGGAGCTTTCGGTGGGATGGGAGATCCGGAGAATCCAACGAAGAGTACCCTGATGTCGATGTCGATGAGTACCCTCGAGGTCTGCCACGTGTTGCGGTAGGTCACACCGCCTGCAGCTGCCGTGTTGGGCCACCGCCACCACCTCTGTCTCACCCACCGCCTGAGGTGTCTTGCAACGGCCAGAGGATCGGCGGAGGTGCGGTGACTGACCGTCCCGATGGCTCGGGGAGTGTCCGAACGGGCTCGGGCGCCCGCATTCGGGGGTTCGGTGACTGAGTGTTCTTTTCTGGTTGCACCAGTCTGTCATAGTGCTTGAAGAAGCTGGTTAAATGGAGTTCGTACTAGTAGCAAACCAAATGGTGCTCCAAGATCTTTGGGCAAGGAACTTCCACCAGTCAGTTAGATCCTTGCTCCATTTTGTGCTGGGACTGGTTTTGGTTGTACACAAACCTCAGGAGGTTCGCAGAACCAAGAGACAGGATTTCCACATGTTTCCATGGTCCTATGTTCTCTTTTCCGTCCGTTGTTATTCTAGTTTCGTACCCCTTTCAATTTGGAACCAGGCGCAGTTGAGTACTTTAGACTCTGCCCCACATTTCACCAGCGAGAGCCGATGTTTCCATGGTGCTTCGCGTGGCTCTGAAGGGTCCCGTTTAGCGTGGCCGCTTTCATCATACTCGTCACTTCCGCGCCGCTGTCGGCGCTCTCGGCGCGGAAGCCCGCCATGGGCTGTGCGCAGAGTGGCGCCAAAGCGGCGACCAGTGATGGGAAGTCAGGCGATGCGGGACTAGATCGAAGTCATCTCAAGCACTGACTAGATCGATCGATCAGTGGCTTAAGCTGTATGGTCCGTATGGAGTTCTCAAAGCCCAATTTGTGATTGTGAATGAATTCGTTTCATTTTGTGCAGATCTCACTGGACAGCCACTCACCCTGCTTTGTCAGGGGCAATGGGGGGTAGTGTGTCGCCGGACAAGTGCAAGTTGTGCATGGTGTGAGCGTACGTGCACATTCAATTTCTGATGATTAATCAGAAAACTACTTTGGGCAATCAGAAATCTAGTATGGTGCGTGATAAGCCCGCAGCCGTTTTTCATGTGGGTCAGAGCAAAAGGTTTTGGTTGTATAAGTATATATATATATATTTATCTGTGATAAATGGAGTATCATAATTAAGACACATCAGGGGGAGTGAGTGGTGGAGGATAAATTGCCAATCAACATGCATGGTGCCCCATGCTATCATTTGAAGTTGTCTTGGCCTTCTTGTGCAGGTGGAGTGACTGCGGTGGATAAGCAGCAGGCAAAAGAGGAAAACAAGAAGTATGAGGAGACCATGTCCTTCCTCTCCCAGGTTCCGCTCTTCATGAGGCAGCACACGAGAACCTCTCGATCGACCGAGAAGGTTCCACTCACGCGGGTCTCATCCTATTTTTGGATCTGTACGGGTGGGCTTGGGTCCAAGTCCTGTTTGTTGTGGCCAGGGCCGCTAACCTTTGTATATTTATACATACATATATGCTAAGCTCCTGTGCCACTCCAAAGACCAATCATTTGGAACTGTCTTCATCAGCCAAGGTCCATGGCTCAGGACCAACACTTGATACATAGCAGAGAAGAACGACCTGAATCGGTTACTCATTGACGACGGTATTCTGGCCGGACCTCCCCAGAAACGACCTCTTTCCACCGGTGGACCTCTGCACAACCTCCCTGCCAGGCTACCAAAGGATCAACACCCCATCCTAGCGGCTGCCTGTGTGAATCAGCCCTTCAAGGCAGGACAGACCATCATCACCCAGGGTGAGACTGGCCGCTTGGATGAAGTAGACGCAGCTGGTTGGCCTAGGTCCTAGGTTTGTCTGCCAGCCTGGTCGTGTTTGAGGGTCAGAAGTGGATGGGATTGAGGAGAAAGTTAAAGCTGATTTGGTTTCGCATGATTTGTCTTAAAACAGTTCGGGGTTCTCTCTTAAGTAAAAAGGAAGGTGGCTACGGGTGTCAGAACAGAACTCTATGTAGACCCAAAGGGGAGTGTGATTCTTATGTTCAGTATACGGTTATACGAATAGTGAAACTATCGATCCTGTAGCTCTGAGAAGTATTCAGCTAGAGGTGTTGTCCCCGGGTGAAGCCGCCCCTGAAGCCGCCCCTGTCCCCACTGGAAGCCGCCCCTCCTCGTTGTCCTCCTATGTTGGTCGGGGTGTTGTCTCCTTGTGTAGTTGCGTATCACCTGTCGATGCTTCATCCGTGTCTCTTAAAACAGCCCGGTCACATGAATCCTACAGTATTTGCCGGTCCGCGATAACAAGAATTCTTGCTTAGGAAACTCTTTGGGGAGTTTATGCTAGTGTAATTTGTTTAGTGGATTTAGTAAAGATCTTAAAGTGGACTATTGCCGGTGTTGACCACCTTGAGCCATACTGTAGAAAAAAGTTGCTTGTTTATATTGTGGATTATATATGGTTCAAGCAGCCAACCATTTCACGAAGACCTTGCGGGCCAGACCTTGGGAGAGTAAATCTGTGGCACGTCAACCACCATCAGATACCATCAGAGCATTTCTTTACATGTAAAAAGGATACATCAGATACCATCAGATACCATCAGATACCATCAGAGCATCTATTGCCCCACCGCAAAAGGACATCAAAAGGAAATGAATAAGTTCAAGAGGCAAGAGGAAATCAAGAAGAAATATGAGGAAATCACTATTGTACAGAACTTGGCCATTGGGCCATCTATAGGCCCCAAACGTTTTTTGGGAAATAGGGAAAACTAGTATCCGCACAGACACCCCGCAGAATTTTAATTTTCTGCAATCCAAAGACCAGTTGCGCCATCTATGACGGCCAAATAGCGAGAAAAAGGAGTTACATGGCGCGGCTGTTCCCGCTATTTATTTTTTTGAGTTGCGCCAACAACTTTCTCCCCGGTGTACCATGAGATGATTAGACACCATCAGATACCATCAGACACCATGACACCATCAGATTTCTGGCAAGAACAGCCTTGGTACAGGCTCCTCCGACCACCCGTGCTCGCGTGTTTTCCGCACAGAGCCTTCACCTGTTCCTTACACGCACAATGATGCCAAGGCCGGGAATTCTTCATCATCCAATCGGGTGAAGCGGAAGTCTCGGTCAACGACGGTGGTAGTCAGAAGAAGGCGCACACGGTGACGAATCGTGCCGGAGGTGTGGAGGGGTAGAAAGTCTATGGTGGATGAGGTGAGTTCACTGTACTGACGGATCAGTGGTAGGTTGATTGCTGGATTCCTGATTCCTTCGAGGAAGTTGTGTGGGCCAGGGTCGTTCGTGGAAGCAGGGCCCAGGGCTGGCATCGAACAGTTTGTTATTTGGCTTTGGAGGCTGATGAGAGAAAAGGCTCACCAACTCTGCTTCATCTTTGGGTGATCTCTTTCAACATCCACAGAAACCTCGCCTTTGGCCATTTTTGCATGTCTTTTCAGACTGGATTGGAGTTGGACTCGTTGGACTTTGCGGACGTTGGACTGTTCAACTGGCTTTGGATGCTGAAAATGCCTTTTGAAGCATGCGAGATGTGTATTGACTCATTTAACCTTGAACATTGCTCAGTGAATCAGCAATTTCATTCTCAAGTAACACGCAAGACTGAACCACTTCTCAGCTTATGCGCCCTTTTTTCCCTCCCAAATACCCGCCGTTCATCTTCCAATCTGCCACGCGCCTTGGTTTCCGCCGTGCTGAGCCGTGCCCAGGTGGCGACCTTGAAGCAGGGCGACTACTTCGGTGAGAACGCCCTGCTGCGCAACGAGCCACGCTCGGCCACTATCAAGGCAGTCAGCGAGATCAAGACCTTGAAGATCACGCAGGAGCTTTTCCTGAGAAGTTCAGGTGCTATTTTTTTGGGGGAGGGGGGAGGTGGAGAGAAGTTGCGGACCTGTTCTTCCAGTTTGTGGGGGAGTGGAGAAGTGTATGGTTTGTGACGTTTGAGAAAAGGTAAGACGGATTGGAAGATGAAGAGATGATTGATGCATAGGAAGGAACACACATATATATATATACACACATCATTACACATCCCACGATCCCATGCGTGGGTCATAAAGGTTCCAAACACCACCTCCCCGGACGAACACAGAGCCATTTCCCCAACACGTGCTGTGGCATCAGCATCCCGCCGTCGTCGCTCTACTTCAGCCTGGAACGAGGAGAAGTTCCAGCAGTTGGGCCTCAACGAAAAGATCCAATTTGCCAACCGAAAGGCCGTGGGTGCTGGTGGGAAGCGCCAGCTGGTGGTGAAGCCGCCCTCCGACAAGACGGCGACGGAGCCCTTTGGTGGTGACTACTTCTCGGCCGAGCCGGCGAGTCTGTGAGGTGAGGGACAGTCAAGAATGGAAGAAAAGTGGGAAGAACAAGAAGGGACAATCTTGTTCTTCCGGAAGAAACACATATCTTGCCAATCTTTGATGTGGGTGTGTCTCAGTAAACCCTAGAGGCCCCAAGACAAGCATCTCGCTAGGACTGCTAGGAGTTGTGAACACCGTCACTAAGTGACGCTTGGAGGGATCCCTCAACACAACAAACTCGAGTTTTCGGCTTTCGGAATGCACAGCTTTTGATCCGTATGGACTGTTCCCGCCCCGCTACGGGAAAGGTGCGGTTTGGAGGTCCAAATGGTTTTGCGGTTCATTCCGTCAAAACCTGGTTTTTGGCGATAGACTGACTGTGACGGACTCACCCTCATTCTTCAGTTGGTTTCGGCTCCTCCCAGTATTCTAGACACACACAGAAGCGGTGCAAACCATCGAACTGAACGGAGAGGTACCTGATTTTCACCCTCCTATTTGTTGCTTCCCATCTTGAATTCTGCAAATCCACGACCTCTAGCGGACATGCAAAGTCCTCCTCATCCAAACCTTCCAATATCGTGGGAGAAGCGAACTGTTTGGGGGTTGGGCTGAGGTGCTTGGTGGTCACCTCAAATCACCTGCTCGAAGTTTCATAGAACTTCTTGTTTCCGCTGCACTTGATGCTGAGGAGACAACTCATGGAGACGGCGTTGAAGAAGAATGAGAATATCCAAACAATGGTGGCTTCCTCAGAACAGCTCCCACCACTCCTCAGCTCAAGATACGGCCGATCCGACAACTCTGGAATTGGATTGTGGGTGATCAAGTGATCAAGAAACGGGTGACACTGTCCCTGACACCTG